CTTTACCCGCCGTGAAAATACCGAGGAAACGACTTAATTTTCTATTTTATGATTTATTCCTAATTTATGTTTATTTTTAGGTATCCTGAAGAAGAGGACGGGACGAGCCACCTCAGAAGTCACGAGTCGAGTGAAGTGCCTTTCTACGGCTTAATTTTCTATTTAATTATTTATTTCTAATTTATATTTATTTTTAGGTATCCTGAAGAAGAGGACGGGACGAGCCACCTCAGGAATCACGAGTCGACTGAAGTGCCTTTCTACGGCTTAATTTTCTATTTAATTATTTATTTCTAATTTATATTTATTTTTAGGTATCCTGAAGAAGAGGACGGGACGAGCCACCTCAGGAATCACGAGTCGACTGAAGTGCCTTTCTACGGCTTAATTTTCTATTTAATTATTTATTTCTAATTTATGTTTATTTTTAGGTATACTGAAGAAGAGGACACGACGAGCCACCTCAGAAGTCACGAGTCGAGTGAAGTGCCTTTCTACGGCTTAATTTTCTATTTAATTATTTATTTCTAATTTATATTTATTTTTAGGTATCCTGAAGAAGAGGACGGGACGAGCCACCTCAGGAGTCACGAGTCAAATGAAGAAGTGCCTTTCTACCATCCTATCGCCTTTACCCGCCGTGAAAATACTGAAGAAACAACTTAATTTTCTATTCAATGATTTATTTCTAATTTATATTTATTTTCAGGTATCCTGAAGAAGAGGACACTGAGCTAAAAATGAGGATAGAAAATCGGAAGGAGTTTCCTTGAAGAAACTTGATTACTCGGTTAAACCACACAAAAGGAACTTGGTGTACGCCGCAAAGGTTCTCCTTATATCCGTCTCCTTTCTCTTTGGTGAATTACAAGCAAAATTTCATTTCACTAAGAATTTTTTTTTTAATTTTCTTGAAGGTCTTAAACGGAGTGCTAACAGTGTTTGATTGCGGATAATCAGAGGAAAAGAAAGAGTAAGCAACACGTTCCGTTCGCTTTTTTATTTCGAATTAATTGCCACATTAAAATTACCCAACAGTCCAGTGAGTCATACGTGTTGCACGAATGAAAGAAATTTTTATTTCGTTACATTTTCATAAATGCATCATTCGTTTGCGAAACGATCCTCGTGCGTCATTCCCGTACAGTTGGAATTAATTTAGGATTCTTTGAAAGTCTCGTTAGCTGAATCAGATGCCTGGCAAAAGGATAAACAAAGGAAATATTGAAATTGGATATTAAATAACATAGGAAAGTGTGTTAACGAGTTTCAAAGTAACCAGAGACAAAGAAGGTTCGCCAAAAAGTTGACTCTACTCCGTTCGCAAGGAAACATCCTGGCTCCTCTCGGCTCTTCGTCCTCGATCCTGAAGAGGATGAAGAAAGAGGTGAGAGACAGAGAGGTTTGTCGAGTTTTTTCTTCCACCGGTATCGATTCAAGACGGCGTATAATTCGATATCGATACCGTAATTCAATATCTAAGAGGCACACGCAAGGTCTCGTCGCATTGATCACGTTGCTGTTCAGGATATCGTCGGTGGCAGGACGATAACGGTTTCGCCTTGTACGGATGCTGGATCGCTGGAGCGACATTCGCGGTGTCACGGAACATTATTTTCAATGCGACCATCGTTCTAAATGCGGCTGATCGCTGTTGAAGTTTCACCAGCGAGATAACTGTTCCGTTTCCTCGCCTTTCTGAGCAGAACAAATCCTACCCCTTCTTATATTCTATTATTTTACTCTCGACTTTGGAATATTGAAATGTTGCGATAATTCAATTTAAGTTTACAGATTATTATAATCAAAATGTTGAAGTTTCACCAGCGAGAAAACTGTACCGTTTCCTCGCCTTTCTGAGCAGAACAAATCCTACCCCTTCTTATATTCTATTATTTTACTCTCGACTTTGGAATATTGAAATCTTGCGATAATTCAATTTAAGTTTACAGATTATTATAATCAAAATGTTGAAGTTTCACCAGCGAGAAAACTGTACCGTTTCCTCGCCTTTCTGAGCAGAACAAATCCTACCCCTTCTTATATTCTATTATTCTACCCTCGACTTTGGAATATTGAAATGTTGCGATAATTCAATTTAAGTTTACAGATTATTATAATCAAAATGTTGAAGTTTCACCAGCGAGAAAACTGTACCGTTTTCTCGCCTTTCTGAGCAGAACAAATCCTACCCTGTCTTATCTTCTATTATTCTACCCTCGACTTTGGAATATTGAAATGTTGCGATAATTTAATTTAAGTTCACAGGTTATTATAATAAAAAGAATAATTTTTAAGCATTGCAGGTTAGTCCAAGTAACCAGATGAAGGGAAACGAATTTCTTCCACTTCTAACGAGCACGTGCTGTACGCGCGTCTGCCAGCTGCAAATATCGTGCAAGAGGTCCAACGAAATCCACGGGTGCAAATGGAGAACACGGGATCCATCTGGCGTGTGCGTGACCTCCTTGAATTATCCTGACTCCTGTCTCCTCTTTAACTCTTACAACTTACCAGCTAGCCTCCACTTTCGACGTTTCCTATTTCGTCCTTCTCGCACACTTCTTCCATCCTGATTGACGTCCACGGACGTTATTCGCCATTTGGCGAGGCATTTTAATCAACCGTTCCTTTGTCATTTAAATATAGAAGGTAATTTCCACTGACAAATTTCTAAAAAATTCCCAAAATCCTTCTTCTATTTTTAGAAACCCTTGAAATAGCCAGGACCGATCTCACTTTCTCTTCGATACACGACAAAAGGCTAGATGATATCGATTAACTATACGTTTCCTTCTTCGCCTTTCTTTGTCCCCTTTTCACATTCGCGCCCTCCGCGTTCAATTTCACGTACACCCTGTAGATCGAGCAGAAAGGGAGGGTAGTTTCCACCCTAACTGATGGCCAATCGTAGCTCGTGCACGCCCAGTGACGTCACTCTTGCCACCGTGCACTGTAATTAGCCAATCCCATCGCTGGGTGGCCGGTACCCAACCCCCTGACACGATTATATTTACGAGCCAATGATTTCTGCACACGCTATTCGACCCCCTTCGTACTTCTACACATGTGTGTGTGTGTGTCAAAAATTGCAAAAGACAGGAACGGTAACAATGGTCCCTCCTTTTATTCTTCTTTTTTTAAGCTTCCAGTTTCCATCCCTCTACCCTTAGTTTGTCTTTTAGACATATAGAGTAACGTATACAGAGTTGTTGACGTATGCGTTTCTTAACCCTCCATGGACGGCGGACCATGGAGAGAGCGTTCGTTTCATTTCCTGTATTAAACGTACATTCGTTATTTTTACGGTGTTCAGACTGTCCTTGGATATAAATTTCCACCCCTGTGAAGTTCACAAAGAAAGCTGAAAGAAAAAAAAGTAGAGATAGAAAAACTGAATGAGCTTCCTTCTTGAAGAAGATCTCGAGAAGATAGCGATTACGCGCAGAGTAGGATAGCAGAAGACGAAAATGAAGAGAATGGCTCCGAGATCGGTAAAAAAAAAAATACAGGGAGCACAATATCATCGATTCTCGGGCGTAGGTGTGCGTTCGGGTATCGCTTTCTACAGTTTAGGGATAATCCGCTTACGCAGGCCTGACCTGTCATCGTCCTCGGTGGCATTGTCGGCGGCGTTTTGAGAGAAAACAGTATTTTCGACGCTCGAGGTGGCGACAAGAACAGGGCTTAACTTATCTCCGTCACAACAACGACGATCCGGCTTCCTCTTTTCGCGTGGGAGGATCCTCGGTGCACCTGATGCAACGCGGGATGCATTTGAGGTATCGAGAAAAATTTAGAAATTCCAATCGGGAACAAAAGTAGGTCGTTACCGCGATAACATATTCGTTGGGATGATTTTTCTGATCGATGAAGGGGTTGCCGAGGACGGCCACCCCTCTCGGCCCTATAATCCCATGAATACATAATCCAGATGCAAACAGCCGGCACGCGTGTCTCGTTTTAGAACGGCCGTGATATTTCACGGATTACGAATATTTGCGCTTCAGTTTCACGGTATCTCGATCGGTTCCTCCGTCATGGCGCGACTTCTTTTCTCTCGTTCTCCTATCTAACTCTGTTAAACGAAAAAAAAAAAAAAAAAACGAATCGAACAATTTGATGGATGAGTTCCACCGCCGATCTAATCTGATGTGAATAAAAAGGCGTAGTAGAATTTTCCGCGTCATCTAGATGGACCATGATGGATTTTCTGGACATCTCGAAAGGAGGAGGGGAAAAATGAATGCGAACAGTACTTCAAAAATTTTGTAATAGAATTATTATTTTCTTAGTTTCTTTCGTGGCTGATTCCTTAAACTCTAGGACCGATTAGTTCGGACGAGAAACGACACATGGGAACGAAATGAACATTTAAGTAGGTCGGAATAAAGAGAAGCTCGATAACTTACAGTTCAATCATCACGAATAAAGATAAAAAGAAACAATGAAAATTCACGAAAGTAAGTCGATCATGCATCGAAACTTATATTACATATTAAAAAAAAATGATACTAATCTAAAATTATTCCAATTTTTGATCATTGATTACTTGAATGACTAATGATATGAAATTTATTAGTCTAATTTTAAATGATCTAAAAATATACATATTATTAGTTGATCAAGTAAAGCAGTCGTTTGAATTATTCATAATAGAGTCTATTACTATCGGGTGCCATCGTTAGAAATATAGTCATGAAATATCAGTTCAGTCGGAAATAGAATAAAATTGAGTCTTGAAACGCGTTCTTCGTTAAAAAGTAAACGAAAATATATTTTATTCGTTCCTTGCTCGTTCTCAGCAGACCTTTAATCCTTTGCACTGGTGCGATCGCAAATAGTACGAGAAATAGTACGATTATTATGTATAATTTTATATATATATAGAAAATATTGTTATCATTATTTACATTAAACGTACAAAACTAGAACGTTCTAGCTGATGATTATTAATAATAGGCGTACAATAGAATCTTTGATCTTTAGTCGATCATTAATTGTGTATGCATAATGTTTATTTCAATTAACATTAGAGTAATTATTATCGTTAGTCGATGATAATTGTGTTTTTTCGTCAGTGAACCCCTTGACGCTAGGATAATTTTAATTTTTGTTAATTTCATGGGAAAAGTAAAAGCAGAACAGTAATTGCAAAAAAACTCTAAATGTACTAATTTGTTTATTGCCCAGCGTTGAGGGGTTAAAAAAAGAAAATTAAAAAAAAAACATACAGGAAAACAAAAAAGATTCTAAGAGATAAACTGGCACGATGAAATAATAAAATTAATTAGGTACTTTCTCATTTGTCATAAAACTGCTATTAAACTTTGTATATTACAAAATCAACCACTCGATATGCAACAACTTAAGATAATTCTTTATTTATCTAACAACAATAGATAAATTAATTTGTTGAAGAAAATGAAAAAGTACCATTAAAAAATAATAAAGAAATTACATTAAATACGACTTCACTTCTAATTACGATCGTAAAGCTCTACGATATTGTGATGTGTTACAATTAATTGAGCGCAGGCAGCTCGTAGTATTTGTTCGTTAAGAGTGCAAAGGCTTAAACAATGAAGGCGTTATACGTATATATGTACAGATTAAAAATCGAACGATCGCGGGAAATTGGATCGTTTTATCGATTTTTCAGTTGAACTTTGTTCAACACCTTAGCTGCGAAAGTGTATCTTCTTCTTGGATACGATCAATTACAAGTCAATTGTAATTGCAATCAAAGGAACTTTATAGTAAAGTTCTAAGTTTTGAATAAAAAGAAAAGAAAGGAAACCTTTCTTTCGAATTTTGATATAAAGTTAATTTTATATCGCCGCGATTATACTTTAATTTTAAAAAACAGTAGAAAAATCAACCTTACACGGTCTCTTCTTGGGAAGAATTCCTTTACAAATTCACAATGATATGTAAAAAAACATTTGAAAAATCGCACTGCCGTATAAAAATCCATTCGGGTCGCAGCTAATGTGTCAGAGACGCATCCAAAAGTGGATGATTAAAAGGAATATTATACAGGATATTTTAAAACACCATGAAAATTAAATTCTTCGTAAAAAAACAAATCGAAAAGCCCTTTACCGTTTTTCGATAGGATGCTTCGTTTTCGAGATATCAACGATTAAAGATCGAGTAGTCGATTTCCGGTTCAGGGCACCCCGGAAGTGGAGTATCCAGTCTTTAATCGTTTATACCTCGAAAACGAAGCATCCTATCGAAAAACGGTAAAGGGCTTTTCGATTTGTTTTCTTACGGAGAATCTATACTTTTAATGGCGCATTTTTTTGAGACACTCTGTATAGTCACACTCACTCTCGCGGCTCTCTCGCACTTTCTCTCCCTTACAAAAATACGTTGGACGGAACCGACGACGAGTCTCCTCGTGCTCTTATGTATTTTTCTCTCAATTTTTTCTCATTTGTTAACTCGTTCACTACCAGCGCTGTCATTTAAATAATCGACGATACTTGTCAGGCCATGCACTTCGTTATACTATCTTTTATATTCTACGATGAGCTATGAAATGAAACTTTGTGAAAATGATAGGTAGCGAACGTGTCAAATAAAATGTCCCCTCTTCCATCGAGAATTCAGCGGGATCGAAGAGCAAACTTAACTATCTTTATCAAAATTTTGATCTACTTCTTTTTTTCTTCCAGTAGATAAAGAGACTGGCAAACGCAACAGGATTCTTGGAGTCTACAAAAAATATTCTTTTGTTTCACTGTAAAGGCAATTTACTTGATCGCATGGTATAAAAACATATTGTTGATAAAATTCATCTCTTTTCCTTACAAAAGTATACATTTTAGAGTTCCGTTTATCTTTCAAATAGATTCGATGAATGTTTTGAAAATGGACAGAGCCCCATCAATTTCGTCGCGGTTTCTAAAAAAATACTGTTTCGAAAAATACTCGATGGTCGAACGATTAAAAACAACCGCTGATTAAATGCATCCACTCGATTCCGCTTAATCTAAAACGCAAGTTCGAGAAAACCGTGTTTCGCTTAATCTTACGGCAGCCCATCTTTCCTCTGATCCCGAAAAATTGTCATTGGAACACGAAAAAGGCTTCAGAGATGCACGAAAAAAAAAAAAAAAAACGTTCGCATACAATGATCATCGAAGCATCAAAGACCCGGCTCAAAGAAAATTTCCAAAGTTTAGAGTCAAACGACAACGACACATTCATTCGTACATCCACTATCGTAAGACTTTGTTCGATTAAATTGCAATTTATGGGGGTTTTATCGACTATGAAATCTCTTGTAATTCGGAAGAATAAAGACGGAAAGGGAGGGAAAAAATATCAGCCAACATTGCGCGAAAAGGAGACGAGAATCCGACGAGGGGAGCGAGAAACGTTGTGCGCGTGGAACGATCGATTCGTCCTGCACTCGAACAAGGAAATTTCTAAATGATCCTTGGATCTGATCAAAAAACCTTCTACCTATCCCATGAAAAACGCTTTTGGACAAAATTTAACCTCAGGTTGGTCACCGTGTGCCGCAATGTTTAAACGTTATGGTTATCGCACGCGGTACCGCGTGAACGGACATTCTCCTCGTCTCCGTTTCCAAAATAATCCGAGCATCAAAAAAACCAGTCTTCCTGTTCTCGGCTCTCGAAAATCTTCGCCTTCGTGCGATATTTAGGGATTTTAGCAAAACATACCTTAGAGTACCATTATTTTTGTCGTTTTTCTTTTTTACCCTTTCTTTTAACTTTTTTTATTAATGAACGGACGCAAATGGCTGTTGCAAAAATACAATTTGTTATTTCTCATCTTTCCGTAATAAGTCTAGAAAAAGTGTGTTACTACCTAATACTTCTTAATTAACACGCTTCGTCATCGCCGTGTTATAATTACGCGGGATTGGCAAGAAGGCCGTCGAAAAAGCCACCGGTTTCATATCTTTCCCGCGAACGCGAGAAGTGTTTCGTTTTAGAAGAAAAATTTCGTCGCGAACTTTGGTAAAAAACATTCACTTCCGGCATGCATCACCGCTCAAAATTCTTGGAACACTTAGAAAACCGTTAAATAAAATAATTTTCTATGTTTATATATTTGTAATTTCTTAAATTTTCATTGTATGCCTGCTACTTCGAAATGTGAACTACAATCATTATTAATTGTTATAAAATTTTCCTCAATTTTATATAAAATTCATCAAGTGTCCCAAATCTTCTGAGCACCGATGCACGTGCTTCTATTCGTGTATATATAATATAAGGCAATATATTATATAAATATATACGATACTTTACAATATTTACTGTGCCTGATCAGCGTCTCGATCGACGAAACTTTTCTCTCAGAAATTTATCCGTTCCCTCGGGAACACGGTATCTCCACCCCGGTGAATACAGGGCGGGCCAACACTCGCGACAAGGTCTTGCATCGAGTCCATGCGAGAAATGTTAATTACATTCGCTATTATCATTCAACCAGCTTATTTAGGAGTGCAAACGCTTGAACAACGAAGGCATTACGTATATGTATATATGTACAGTTAAAAATCGGTCGATAGCCGAACGACTTTGTATCGTCAACACCTCGAGTTACACTCCTAAAATATCTCTCTCCACGGGTCGTTCTCATCGGGTTACTTTAGTTTCACGCTTCTTATACCGACGATCGTAGACCAATGGACGAAACGAGACGAGGGAAGAAGGTAGGAGGGACCATCCTCGACGAGACGATCCGTTATTCCGTCTAACAGGATGAAGCAATTCGAAAGCACGATGTTCCCTCCTGGTCGACGACCATCCGCTTCTATCTTGAACTGCCTCGAATTTTTGTCAGGTAACGACCAAACCGCTGGTCGAATTCTCGAAACGTTTCAACCGTGGTCACTCGAGGCTTCGTATCAAAACGGCCAGCTCCCGATAAGAGGCTCCTAATTTACCGGAGGTCGACTGTTTCTTCAGCAGGATGTTCCTAATGCTGGAGAGCTTCTCGTAGCAGGACAGACACTTGTGATAGCTATCGATAAAACGAGAATCGAAATGATCTCTTCCTATTCCATAAACTTAATTTTAAACAAAATTTATATTCACCGTTCCTCTCGCGACACGTCCACGCCGATCGTGTGAAGCGGCGCCTCCACGTTTGATTTAATCACCGAGGCGAAATTTCGCAGGATCAGTCTCAACGCCGATGAGCCCGCCGTTATGTACCTGAAACAATTACAAAGAGGATTAAATTAACGCCGTAAGAAATGAAGGAAAAAGTAATTAGGACAACCGGCTATGAATCACGATTCGAAGAGGAGAGAATGGAGAAAGCACGAGAGCAGGCAGAGGAGCTAGGTCGATGGTGAACACCCACCGGTACGTGTCACGGCTAGTTTGTTCCAAAACGTGTTATTAGCCCATTATGACGCCAATAAATAACGAAAGGCACGAAAGGCTTGCCGGGACGATTCGACACGCTCGCTTTCGGCGAACGATAAAGGGTTCGCGCTGGCTCCCGTTCGAATCGGCGAGACGAATCGAGCGAGCCGCCTCGTAAATGTTCCACAGTAACATTCGCTTCGAAACGGTGAGCCTTGTGAACATTTTGTAACATGCCTGACAGAGTACAGAAGTTTCTCACCGACTCGTGTTAAAATATTGATATTATAAATATAAAAAAGAATTTTTCTATGATTTTTGAAATTCATAGCATGGAAAGCGAGTTTTCCATTGTTAAGAAAGGGATCGATGTATGTGGAAACTAGGAGGAAAACGACCCTCCATCGTGGCACGCGACATCCGATCGAATATTCATCGGTGTGCTACTCCTTTCGTTTTTTTTTCTCACGAGCCAACCACCTTCGACCAGGACGAAAGACCGTGACGAACGAACCGTGAAAACGGCGACTAGTTGTATGCAAACTGTACTCTGCGTTATACCGGCCGTGATGTGTATATTTAGCTGGCAATTTGCTGGATGGATTCACCCTTTCGCCGGTTGTCCAACCGTGACTCGAGAGTACCGTAATCGACCTCGATGATAAGTAGCTGTGATTTCAAGTTATACTTTGATGCGATCATCGCATTGAGTTACAAGGGAATTAAACAGAGCCTCGTTCACCAGTCCAATAATTAATTACCTTAAAAAAGAAATTCGAGAATTAGTGATCTAGAACGTCTTCTATCTCTAATTGAAATTCGTTGATTCATCAATCTTAATCATTGTATGTACTTCAGTGAACTTTCCTTGAAAATTACAGGTCAATTTCACGACCCACGAAAGCGTAGGATGTTTCTTTTAGTTTCAACAGGAAAGGCAGGAAAAGGGGGGCAAACGAACGGCAGCTGTCGAGCGAGCAACAATTAATCCAAATTCGCTTTTATGGCAACAACAGTGTACCGATAAAGACAGCGATGAATTATAATTTTGCCATGATTCTCATCTTCTAAATGCTTCCAATTAGAACACATGTTCTTGATAGTAATCTCAGCTACTGGTACAACGTCAGTTTTTTCTTTTGCCTTCTAATAATAGCAGTGACAAACGAGGAATGAAGAGAAGCGAGTAGACGATGATCGTGGCAATAACTGTATGCGTGACGAATGAAACGGCAATTTTCCAGACTACTAAACTCGACGTTCTAAACGAATACGCTATTATTAGATCGGCCAACAGCGATATCGACTAACTCTTTCAATTAATACAGAAAGAAAGTATCAGATTTAATCAGATCGAGCGATGTTACAGAGAATAACCGCGAGAAATTCCATGGAATTACACGTTTAAGATGAAACGTTGAATTTAATAGCAGCCTATGCGAGTTTCTTATTTGATCGCAGTTGCTTGAAGTTATATGGACAAGGCACGATCCCATGGACGTTAATGGGCCCGTACAATTTACAATGCGCATTGTGTGCGTCATCGGAGGAAGAAATGCACACGTGAAAGGAAATGCTCGTTCTTCTGTCACGACAGCAACAGCTTGTAACTGAGCACCGGTTAATTGCACCGTGTCCAACATCAGTCTCGCGTGCGCCGTTCAATTTTCCTCCTTGTTCCATGGAACTGTGTTATCTGAGAACGATTGTACTGTCACTTGAAACGATTCGGAGAATCGACAGATAACTTCCTTCTTCTGAAATGAAAACATTGTCCGAAAAAAGAGTATAAAGAGATGAGAAGAGCGAATCGGGCTTTCCTGAATCAACAAAGAATGCGTCACAGTCGCATACAGCTTCCTACGCGATCATTAATATTCATGATCGGCTGTCAGACGAGAAAGAAGTGGATCTGTCCATGAAGAGCGTCAACATATGCGTTCGCGTGTCCCTTCGAACGATACCGAGTACACGCGACAACGAGGAATCCAAGCTCGAATTTGCATCTGCCACTGTCTTCCATTGTCTTGGCTAATTTCGCGAACCCCTCGTTCCTTGCAGTCCTCTTCGCCTCGTGTTTCCCCCGTTCGTCGAATTAGCCATTCCCATACCGTCGGCCACGTGAAGTGACGCGACCCCACTTGAAACACCCTGTTTGCATTCGAGAACCTCACCCCTCGGCTGTGAAAGGGGTGGCTCGAATTTTCTCCGATTCACGTACAGTGTTGAGTTTCAGTGAGGTAACGTTACACACTATCGCCCAGTGTATCGTGTTGAAAACAAAGGCGTCACTTACATTTCGTATTTACTTTGAAGTAGCTCCCCGATTGGTGTAAGCAACGCGTTACACAGATCCAAGTTCCACATTGCTCTGGAAAAATGAAAGAATAGCGAGAATGTAAAAGTGAAATTCTATCGTATTATATTGTAAAATGATTTCACTTACGGTTTTAAGGTCAATATTCCCAACAGATCAACGATAACTGCAAGATCGTTCATTGCCACAGCCGATTCAACCGCGGCCTGAAAGTTTCGTATTCTCTCTTAATATTGTACTAATTTATCAATTGATGATTCGATAAAAATATTAGGGATTACCTTATGGTCTTTATTGTGCCAGAGAGAGTAGATGATTTGTAAGGAACGATGACGACTCGTAAGGACAGCCATCATTGGCTCGTGACCCCTCATCATACTGTTGAGTACCTCAGCTTCTGACATTTCATTGAGGACTCCCATTTGTGGGTAACCGAAACCCGCTGATCTTGCGAAATGATTCTGTTAAGAATAATACAATTACGTTTACTATATTTTATAATGAATCAGCTTCGCGAAGTTGAGGATGTCTCACCGGTAGAAAAGCCTCGACGTCTAAACCATAGGGCTTGTCGGTATTTATAGGGACAAATTCTTCTTTCTCTGTGGTCTCGATGCTTGGCCTCAATTGAGGCGTACGGATTTCTACCTTAGGATTCGGGGCCACTTGAGCTTTGTTTGATTTCTTTGTGACGAACGTGGTAGCTGTGGTCGCGTTACGCGGCGTTGAGGTAGGAAAGTTTCTGTTCAGAGATGTCGACCTAGATTGCGCAGAGTTTGGCCTGTTCAACGCTGGGTCAGAGGGACTGTGCCTTATATTATTAATTCTGCGAAAATAATGAAAACACATCTTTCACAGCTTCCAATGTTAGACGATGTAAATTAAGATGGTGCAGAAAATGAGAAGAAAATGACTGTGTATACTTACTGTACCGGATAATCGCTTTCGTAACCCTGTTCTCCGTCTCTACAACTACTCTGTCTTTTCAAATAGTGCTTAGGAGAATCCGGGCTAGGTACTCTATTCTTTATTTTACCATCGTCCATTACTGGAAGAACAGCAGCCATTGGTGCCACGCGTGGCGTCAGTGTAGAATTTGATCTCTGTGGGCCCAAAGGTGGTGGAAGTGTTCCAATGTCACTGGTTGTAGTAGTTTTCTTTCCAGGAAAAGGCGTGATGCTCTGTCTCAGAGGAGGTATAGACGCGAGGGTTTTCGACGTTCTGCCAAGGCCGTTGTTCGTTTGAAGATTCGCTTTTATTTGACTCGTCGAGGTGATCGCGTTCCTTTGAACGGGTGGAGATGATTTTATCGGTTGAACACGTACTGGTACGGGTTTCGTTAATGATAACGTTGGCGCAGGTGGAGGCGGAGACGACGGCGATAGCATTGGAGGTACCTCCTCTGAATCCATCACGCTTATGTTCGACATTGAGGTAGAAAGATTTTGTAATATCTGTGGCTGTGTGGGATCTGAAAAATGAATGTATACCGTATACTGTACAAAGCAATATCGTGCACGGATACGTGTATTTGTAAATTGAAGTCCATGCAATTTTGGTGTAGAAGAAGGAAAAAGACGGAAAGAACTCACCTATATCTTGAGGCTCCTCGAAAGCCTCAGGTTCTGGGGGTGGAGTGCGAGACACTGAAACATATCGTGCACAGCATGCTCATTCACAAACCATACAGCACAACATTCAACTTTTAGATGCATTTGTATTTTCAGACTTGTGATTAGAGGTGGGTAATTAAGGGTTAGAACAAAACAGGATACGAGTATGTTACAATGCACAGATCTTGCAACAAAGGACAAATTATAGAATTGTATGATATTTACGCGCTCTGTTTGGTTGGAAAACTTCATCGTATTCGGTAACGTTGGGTGTATCGGTGAAAGATGCTTCATCCTCTGGATCAGTTCCAGACTTATCCGCCTCTTCTATAGTTCGCACATCTACTCTATATGAAAAATTGAACAATTATATACAGAAAAAGGATAGAATTTAATGTACAATTTATTGTAAAACTTACGTATGTTTCTTCAATCCCGGTGGTCTTTCTCTAGAGAAGCTTTTCCTTAGCGAATTCCCGTGACTAAATGGGGAACCGGATGCTGACACTCCTCCCAATGGAGCAATTTTGTTTAAATCGCATACGTACAGGACGATATTTGCAGTGTGAAAACTTGCACCGATCTGGAAATTTAATACATATAAATTTACGGTTTGATACATCAGTTTTCATTATTAAACATGTCCTTACCAGTTGCTTCTGGGCTATAGCTATATCATGTACTTTTCCCCAACCAGTTGGAACAGAATCTAATGTTCTACCTGGTTCCCAGCCATAGACCTTTAACACATCATGGCAACCAGCAAAGAGACATTCTCCACCTTGACTGAAATATAGACACCTAAAAAACAAGACATTAATAATACAAAAAGGAAAACAATAATATATTAAAAATTCATTAACAGTTACCTAATTGCTGAGGAGTGACTTTGTTCTGTGGAAGATACAAGTTGAAATGATTCCAAGTCCCAAAAATGAACTGTTCTATCCGCGCTACCACTAGCTAACAGGAATTCATGGGGATGAAATTCTACTGTCGTCGCTGGTCCTCTGTGTTCGGAGAATTCTCTAAGTTGTCTGCCAGCCCTTAAGTCCCACAGCTAATTCGGAAAGAAGTTAATTAGAGCAGCTAATTTCATTAGTACTAAAGTAACACTGCTATAATCATTACCTTAACCATTCCTTCCTCTCCTGCACTAGCAATCCATTGGCCATCAGGACTAAATTTTAAACTGTTCACCATCCTGTTGTGCCCTTTATATGTAAATATACATCCTTTTCTTCTAATGTCCCAAAGTTTGATAGCAGTATCTAAACTTCCCGATGCCAATAGTTCTCCATAAGGATGAAAATCCATGCACCTTATACCAGCTTTGTGCCCTGTTAATGTACGAGCTAATTTGGCATGTTCCAAATCCCAAATTTTCAATGCCCCTGTCTGTGAACCAGCGCATACTAAATCTTCTGTTTGCCCAAATCTTACACATTCTATTGGTGTGGTGTGACCGCTCAGGCTCTGAAAGGATTAATTGCAACAGCATGAAGAATAAATTACACATAAGCAACTGTATGTTAACATTGAGATATGAGAATATACCATAATACAATTCTGCTTCCCAACTGCCCATAGATTCACCTTCTTATCATCACCACCAGTGACCAAAACACGTCCAGATTTGTGGCCTAATGCTAGACAATTGACATTGGCTGAGTGGGCAACAAAATCCTCTGCAGAAAATGAAACGCATGATTACAGAATGATCTGAACATAACGTCAACTTTCAGTGACATCATAAAGACAATGAATATTCCATTGAACGAAGGTTATGACCATAATAGGAAAATGGAAATGACCAATTTATCCATTGAATCCGGTGAATTGATTTGTAGACAGGAATTGTTTACTGATATCAGAGAAGAAAGCGGCTGAACGTAATCCGTTGAATGAACACCGTGCACCGATGTATTCAAATAAATCGTGTACCTACGATACAAGCGAGACAATCACTTACGGAGTTTCCATGATCTCTTCGTGGACGAAGCCATATTCCGGGACCACAGGATTGCGTTGTGCACTGACTTATTTGGCAACGACAACAATTTGAGATTTCAACTTGCGGATGCACAATTTTTTTTTCCTTGAATTCGTGGGTAACATTTTTACTTTGTGTTTATTGCTTAATAAAAAGACGATCGTTCAACGGGGCGGCAACATCTTGCCGCGGTGTGGTCCTGAAGGCAGTCCTTTCCTTGAATTTTCTGTCCGTTTTCTGAAACCGTTCGTACCACCTCTTCGTCGTATCTCATTTCTTGAATCTGCCTGTCCGTGGGTAGCGCGAACTAACGTGACGTTGAGAAATATTGAAGTTCTCTGTTTCCATCGAGATCACGTTCCAATTGATCGCGCCAGATGTCACCAGCTCTCCGGTCAATTGAATTTCACCGCAGCAAGTGTCAGATGCTGTTGCTTGTTGAACTAAAAAAAGCATTTGATAAATCGCTATCGGGAACTGTACCATGACTTATTAATCATGTTGTCGGTATATACCGTATTATTACGTGAAGTTTACGTGTTACGTTATGAATGACATAATGATAGTTCATGACGTATGTACGTGTAAACATTTAACAGTAAGGTTATAGTTTCCCTGTCTCCTCATCGTATACCAAAAATGTCCTCACTGTTATTTTCACATGTACTTGCAAGTAGGAGTAAAAGATTATTTTCTTCCAAGATATTCAACAGACATTATGTAGAATATGTGCAAGGACAATCACCAGAACCTAAAGTTAGAGAATACTTTTATTATATAGATCACCAAGGCATGGTATAATTTATTCTTTTATTAGACCTATTATGCTTGATACATGAAAGCATTCAGGATAATTAAACAACATTATATTTGCTTTCTGAATTTATAGTTGTTCTTGGATGATGCTCGGATGAAAAATTTTACATCTTGTTTTAAAGGTTTGCATGAATAAAAAAGACAATCTGTTGTATATATCAATTCATGTATCATAAGATATATCATTCTAGATAAAAAATTTTTGGCATTCTTTTTCAAGCACTTGAAAAAAAATGACACTAGCAGATACAGAGAGGATTTTCCTTATATTTCTCTTTGTGGTATAGAAAGGAATTTTGTCAGATGCGATGATTTACCAATAGTCTTCACAAAAGTTATTCAATGGGAAGATGAAAAAACAAAAGATAATAAAGATTGGTTTGGTTATGCTCATGCAGAAGAATTATTAATGGTACAGTATTGAACTAAGTAGCCTTTCTTAAGGTAAATGGAATGGAACAATTTACAAAGAAAAAAACAATTACAGGTTCCATTTCAACCAGAAAAATTACATATGAATGTTCATTCAGGAAGAGTGTATCATCCTGCACCAGAAAGAGCAGGAGGAATTGGTCTAGTAAGATCAAAACTTGCAATTGAATTTAGTTCATTGTTCAATTTTGAAAAAGGAGAAGAACATAGTCCAACTCACTTTAATTGGAAAGGTAAAAGATATTCCCTTGATACAGAGTGGTGTAAGAACAAAATAGCACAAACTATAAAATAAAAATAAACTTTATTTTTTATTAAAAAAGAAAACAAAGTATATTATATAAACAACTTTCATAAAATGTACATATATTTTAGTCAATAACAAAGATTGTATATTTTTCGCTATATAATAAATTACGTTAAGGTATAGATGAAATATCAAAAATCCTAGCTGTGGAATCATCAGATGTTGTCAGGGCTTTTTCTCCGTTTCTAAAAACATATTTGTTACGTTATTATTATGAATAGAGAAATATTTACAATTATTTCTACTTACTCAGATATATATAGATCAAGAATGTCTGCCGTATGACCCGTAAACGATCGTATACATTCACCATTTTTTCCATCGAAACACCTAAGAATACCGTCTAATCCTGTTGAAAACAGGATAGAAGTGTTTCCCTTCCATAAAATCTTCGATACACCGCTTTCTTGTTCTATTTTTTGTCTAAGTACCTATATAGTTTTAATAGAAATCACTGGTTTAAGATTCCAGATAAAGCTGTATTAAGATCGAAGAAAGTAGCAGTACCTGTTTTGAGATATCCCAGATAAAGATTTCTCCATTAACAGTTCCAGTTGCAGCAACTTGAAATGCAGGATCTTTGCAGAAAGCTGCTGTTTCTACCCAATTGCTCTCATTATTTCTTTCGCTATTTTCAGCTTCCGGATCAGCGTTTCCAATGTTATCACTACTATTAAGGCTTTGCAGAACAGATATTATCTAGAATTTTTAATGATTTTATTTTAATACTGGTTGATACAAAAATCTTCATTTTTATTACCTTGCCAGTAGTTGATGTGCTAATTATTGTTTTTCCATCCACAGCTGCAGAAAGTATTAGATTGTTGTCTGAATGGCAATCAACAGCAGTTATAGTAGAAGTATGACCCAATACAGAGGAGATAGATGACAACACAGAACCTGACTTTAAATCTATAACTCCAATAACTCCATCCTCATAACCTACTGCAACACGTTTACCTGAAACACAAACATGTCCAGTCTCAATTAAGTTACAATACCTAAGATTTGAGAGAATGCTGTAAGGATGAGTACCATCTGGAAATATTGCACCAGTCTCTGCCCTGCATCCAAATCCTTGAAAAACCTTGCAGTCTCCATCAGGAATTTTCCACATGTATACTTCTCCATCAACAGATCCCCCTAGCAAAACATTTGCAGCCATATGCCACTTCATCCACTGGAATAATGTAAGTAATTTTACATTTGATTAATATTCATAATTGCATAGCATGAAATCATAGGAAATATGTAATGAACCAACTGTTGCATCTCCCATGTTGTAATCCCAAACTCTAGCTTTATCCGACATTCTCCAAACTTGTATCATACCACTCATATCCCCAGTAGCCAAATATGATTCATCATGATTAAATTCTGAAAAGATAATACTATCTTTGTGACCAACACAGTCAAGAATGATCTCTCCAGACAATGTATCCCACACATAAGCTTTGTCTTCTTCTCCTCCTGTAGTGGCTAACTTTCCATTTTTGGTCAGAGAACCGCAAAAGACAGAACCTAAAATTTTGTTAACGAATCTATAATCTTTGATTAATATCAATATTAATATAATTGAAACAATATTAACCACGTTTATGACCGGTAAACACATAAGTAGCATCTCCCTCTTCTGGAGGATCTTCTCCCATTCCATCTTCATGTTCAATTTCTCTTGTATCATATGCATCTATTACTTCTTCTACATCACCTATGTATATCATATCTTCTTCATCTTCCATCTGATTACTCATGTCTGGAGAGGATGGTGGTGTATCCTTATGCATGATTTACTCCAAGAACTTAATAAAGCGTGCAACAGGTCATGTTTTAATATAATTATGGATATATTTGAGTAGGAGACATAGAAAAGTAAATAAAATATCGATGATAATGATTTATCGTGTTCTTCACATGCAAATGATGTAACTCGTTGAATCTTTACCTTTATTTAAACAATCAGATTTATGCTTGAAATATATTGTTCGAAACACTGGAAATTCAAACGCCCGTCAACACACTCAGATATTCTGAACCAGTGACTACAGATCCCACAAGATTGGACATGCCTTTGTTTTCAAAGGGTCTTGAATTTGTGTCTTTAAATTAAAGCTTTAAATAAACTCTGAGGACATTTTTCTTATGTGTTCGAGGTCGTAAAATCATTTGACGGTCTCGGAAACACCTAAAAGTTCGCCAAAAAACGAAATTTTTGCTTTTGTTAGTTCCACATTTTCGCCGCTAGATGGACGCCAATTTTTTGGTCGATGAAATGCATATTATTTCTATTTTTTTACATGTGTAAACCTGTGTTATTTTGTTCTATTAATAAAAAAAAAAACAATACTATAACAATATAGTATGAAAAAAGAAAAGCATTGTTACATTGTTCTTTATTATTTGACAAAGAACAATTGAAGTAATAGGAAAAGGCAGAATTAGTTTTATAAATTTTCTTCTATTTATTAATACCATTTACAATGACAGCAATATTAGGTGCTGGTATATCAGGTTTATCAGCTGCATATTATGCGCTTAACAATCCAAAAATAACTTCCTTAGTTGTATTAGAAGCCTCAAATCGTGTAGGTGGATGGATACATTCCTTGAAACAACCTGATGGAACAATATTTGAGAAAGGTCCACGAGTTTTAAGAGCTGATTCTCTTGATACATTAAATTTAATAGAGGAATTGGGATTATCAGATAAAATTATTCATATTAAGTCTGGCCATCCAGCAGCTGAAAACCGATATATTTATTCAGATAATGCATTACATTGTTTACCCAATAATTTTAAGGGGTTGATCACCAAAAATACTTTATTAAACCAGTCATTGATGAGTATTTTGTTGAATGATATTAGGACAAAAAAAGTTTCTAAAGATGATGAAAGTATATATGATTTCATACATAGAAGATTTGGTGAAAGTGTAACAGAAAAACTAATTGCTCCAGTAATGTGTGGAATCTATGGGGGTGATATACATAAATTGAGCGCAAAATCTTGTATAAATAGTTTATTTGAAGCAGAACAAACCCATGGTTCTATAATTAAAGGTCTTATATATAACAGATATGGTAATATTGCTCAAGAATTATTTAAAAAAAGAACTGACCTAACTATAAAATCAAATTATACACCTTCACTATTATTACAAAGAGCTAGAAAAGAAAAGTGGCGCAATTGGGCACTTGAAGGAGGTTTGGAACAATTACCTCAAGCAATTGCCAAAAATATAATTAAACGTGGAGTAGATATAAAAATGCAACATAACTGTGAGAAATTAATATTTAACAAAGATTATGTAGAATTAATTGTAAATGGAAAAAGTGAAAAATATTCTCAAATTATTTCAAGTTTGCCCGCAAAAAAATTAGCTACTTTAATACAAGAGCAACATCCAGAACTGTCTAAAGAATTATGCAGCATACCTGCAATAACAATGGTTGTAGTTAATCTCCAATATTCTGAAACTGTTTCACCTATTAATGCATTTGGATTTCTTGTTCCACCAAAAGAGCAAATTCCCATTCTAGGTGTGATATTTGATTCATGTATTGTTCCTCAGAACTCTAAAATGACAGTATGTATAAAAATAAATATTTATTACATAATCTTTTTCCCTATACAATTTTTACATTACTTGATCCAATTTGTTATTTCTTTAACTATATTTGAATACATTCACTTTTGCAATGACACAAAATGATCCTTAATATCTGAATATAAATCTTTTATAATTACATGTTGGAGTAAAAAAGCACTGAATATTAACAATTTCTTCAATCCAGGTACTGACAGTAATGATGGGAGGGGCATGGTTTGAAAAGTACTTTAGTGAATGTTCATCAGAAGAACATTTAAGAGCTGTAGCAGTCAAATATGTGAATAAAATCTTGGGCATTGATGAAGATCCCAAGGCATTTAACACCTCCATTTTGAGAGATTGTATTCCACAGTACACAGTAGGTCATGCACAACGACTAAGTCGCATCCGCAAATATATCTCCGCGCATAAAATTCCTTTAACGTTATGTGGTTCTTCATACGATGCTTTAGCAGTCCCTTCTGTTATTCTGTCAGCAAAAAAAGCTGTTTCTAATATCTATTAGTATATATAATAGATTTATAAAATTTAAATTCCAGCTTTATCAAGCAAACATTATAATGATTTTTGCTATAATAAAAAAATAAACATGCATAAAAATAATGTAATAAATAGCTAAGAAGCCAAGATCGTCGAAAGTGGAAGCTGTAAGTAAACCTAAATCAAAACATGCAATCGAAACAGCACTCTGCAAAATAACAGAAGAATATTGGTAATTAAGGGAGAAACTATTTTAATGCTGACAAATAAATAGTAGCGCAATAGATACATAAAATAACGTTTTATATAAATAATTATAAAAAACAGTTATCCTAAATTATAATTTCTTAAATAACTAATTAAATAAATTATTTAAAAATTTGTATTGCTAATACAATATTTGTTCATATGTATAAATGTGTATATATGTTTTTATTTACATTTAAAACGATAAGCTACTTATAAAATAAAATATATAATAAAAATATAAAGCTATTAGTATATATAAATATAATACTATACAAAGTTTAAAATTAAAAGAATTAAAATGAAATCTTAAATAGTAATGAAATTATTATTTAAAAATACAATTTAACATTATTATTCATACGCATTTAATTATGTACTTTAAGTATGTAGAAAAGCATGAAGTACTAAAATGCAGCACACAAGCACATAGCATTCCACATTTAGTATAAACTTTTAATGTGCAACTACCTCAAAGATAGTATTATATAAAAATCAACAAAATATTTCTGAATATTAGATAGTTCGTTTATGATTGAACAAGTTTTGTTACATAAATGTTTTTAAAATAAACTTTATAAAAAATACAAATAAAGAAACAATAAAGACTATGAGATTAATCTCTAATAAAACAAAATATTCAAGCAAAATAAAAATTATGTCATATGCTTTAGATACTGATAAAACATTACAAGAATTTACTGATTAACAGTACCTGCATATTTAACTTCATCGAATGCTTTTCTAGCTTTCTTTAATTCTTCATTCATTGTTAATAAATCTTTTACCCTTGCATATTTTCTTGGATCCTTTCTTACTGTAAAACAAATATTTTATATATTAATTAAAGTTTCAAAGAAATACAAATATAAAGTATGTCCTAGATAAATCATTATTAATAATACCTAAGAATACAATATCTTCTACTTGGACCCGACCAGTACGACCAATTTCCATTGCCCTATGTGTCATCTCAGTAATAAACTCAATAACCAGATCTTCTAATAAATCTACACTTTCTGTGTAAGGATTTTGATCATCTCCAAAACCATACATCATACAGCGCAATTCCTTTGAAAATAATCGTTTCCTACCGCCAGGTAATGTTCCACCAATCGGAATTTCAGCCTCCTCATCTTCGAACTATAATAATTAAATAATTGTTTATAATTTTCAATGATAACTGTTTTTTACCAACAAAGTTTTGGTATTTCAAAAATGAATGTTTAATTAAACAAGGTCCAAATATATTTTTAGAATAAGGTTATACGTTCATGTAAAAAAATCATGAAATACTTTAATTAATTACATTTGAAAAATGAATTTAATCACCTGTTCAAAACCTTCTTCTGTCGTCATACTTTAACGCAATTTTTTTGAATTTTACAGATTTAAGAAATGTTTTCTATAAACGTAAAACGAACAACTGAAGTTGTTCAATTAATTTTTACAATTCTCATCAGTAAGATTGTGATACATATATTTTATTTTTCACGAGAGAATAGTATCATTTCGCGCAGCTCAGAAAGTTCCCCCACCAGTAGCGCTACCCCACCATGATTTACTTCCCATTGCATCCGCCATATACATGGTGGGCAAAATATACTAATATAGGAACGGCTTATTATAAGACAAAGGTATGAATCATAATTCATAAGTTTATGATCACCGGATATACTTTCTTCCCGGCGTGGCCACGTCATACAGCCGTAGGACGCATGCGTGTTACCTTGGTAGGGGAACGTGGCAGAACCAATCAGAGCCAACATGCGCAAACAAAACCAAAATTCGTTCAGCCGATGGTACTATTGGGTACTATTCTCTTGTGGCAAATACAATACTTCAAGATGATCAAAGCTAAGAAAGATATTTATAAAAAATAATAAATATCTTCGGATTTAAAAAGGCATTGGTTACAAGATTGACGAACTATGTCGGCAGCGATTCCTACAGCAAAAAGTTGGAAAGAAACCAATCGTTTATTGAAAGAGCAACGAAAGAAATGGCGCGAAGAGAGGTTAGCAAAGAAATTTAAGAAAGAAGAAGCTGAAAAAGATTTACAAAACGATGAAACAAAGCCTTCTGAACAATGTTTTGAGAAGAAAGATATTTCGACTGTGAGTATTGCTGTCCCTGGATCAATTTTGGACAATGCTCAATCGCCGGAGTTACGAACGTATCTTGCAGGACAGATAGCACGCGCAGCATGCGTTTACAAAATAGACGAAATTGTTGTTTTTGATGACAAAGGAGAAATTACTGAGAATGAAAAGAAGAAAGTGCGAAATGACGAGGTATTAGGTGAAAGAAGAATTGCCTGTTTACAACTGGCTAGAATATTGCAATACCTTGAATGTCCACAATATCTAAGAAAGTACTTCTTTCCAATACATAAAGACTTACAATATGCTGGAGTTTTAAATCCTTTGGATGCTCCACATCATTTGCGTCAATCAGATGTATCTTTATATAGAGAAGGAGTGGTTACAAATAAACCAGTTAAAGGTGATAAAGGTTGTTTTGTTAATGTTGGATTATTGAGTGATGTCCATGCAGACAAAGTCTTAACTTCTGGATTGAGAGTCACTGTAAAAATACCACCAGATCAACTAAATCCCAAAAAATTGAGAGGGATTATTGTATCTCCTGATATTCCAAGATCAGATACTGGTATATATTGGGGATATAATGTTAGGCTAGCAAATAATCTCACAGAAGCATTAACGCAAGGTCCTTACAAGGAAGGATATGATTTGACTATTGGAACTTCAGACAAAGGAAAATCTATTGATGATATAGAAGCTAAAAGTATAAAATACCATCATGCTTTGATAGTATTTGGTGGATTGTCTGGATTAGAAGCTGCATTGGAAAGTGATCCTAATTTGAATGTGGATGACCCATCTTTGATATTTGATAAATATTTAAATACTTGTCCTGAGCAAGGCTCAAGAACAATTAGAACAGAAGAAGCTATTTTAATTACTTTAGCAGAATTAAGGATAAAATTATCTGCTAAAGTATCTCCACTGCCAAATCCTCAATATAATGGTTTTGTTGATAACTGAATTATCAGTAAATGCAATGAATGTAAGTAACAATATATCAAATTAACAATCTTTATTTTTCCCCCTAAATATTGTATACAGTTGTAAAAAAATACATAATATGTTAATTTCATTAACATTACTTTATTTTCTATTTTCAGCTATTCTGCAACGCACAATTCACTGTGTCTCTTAAAGTTTTTATAACTTTTGCTTGATCAGAAGATCCTATTACAGCTGTTCCAGAAACGATCATGTTTGCACCAGCCTAAAACAGTACATTATATACATTTAAAATTTCTTTAGATTACAATATCATGTTAAGTTAAATTTTAATATTCATACTTTTGCACATGTATCAATAGTAGCTGGTCCAACACCACCATCTACTTCTATGTCTAATGTAGGATAATTTTTCCTTAGCCACAATACTTTTTCCATCATTGAGTCCATGAATTTTTGTCCACCAAAACCTGGTTCAACAGTCATAATTAATACCATATCTGCTAGATCAACATACTCCACAACTGTGTCTGCTGGAGTTCCAGGTTTAAGTGCTACTCCAACCTTATTGTAAGAGAAGATAATTATTAAATAGAGAAAACTATAGAATTATTAAATAAGTAGTTGTATAGATTACATACTTTCATTCCTGCTTCTCTTACTTTTCTACAAACTAATGGAACATCCTTTACAGGTTCCACATGAAATGTGTACTGGTCGACACCAGCATCAGCCATAGGTTCTATCCACTGAAATAAAAAGAAGATATATTTTTTTATATGTATTAGAACATAAATATTAGGTTGTTATAATTACTCACAATTTTAAGTTCTTCAATTTAAAAAGTTAGGATGAAACATACCTGGTCTGGATTCGAAACCATCATATGTGTTTCAAAAAAGATATCTTTTACTTTGCTACGGAGACATTTTACCAACGGATGGCCGAAAGTAAGGTTAGGCACAAAGTGTCCATCCATAACATCTAAATGTAAATAATCAGCACCATTATTAACTAATTTTTGTGATTCTTCCGCAAGTTGTGCCAAATCGGCATTTAAAATCGAGGGCCCAATTTTCGCTGTCAATTTGTTCGGCATTTTTAATAGAAATATTCTATAGCGCGTACCACGTGTTGTCAGTTAAAATGATAATGCATTATCGAATGTCCTAATGATCTTAGTTACAAGGTCATTGGATTTGCATTATACTTGCTAAATTAAGTAATATATAGTTTAAATTTCTCAGAAAAAAATTTGATGATCAAAAAATTAAGTAATAATAAGTAATTTAAGTAATGAATAAATAATTTATAAATATTATAGAAAATTAAACGTATTTATATGCAGAAACAACGCAAGTTAACTAAACAATATATTACATTAATTAATGTAATAAACGAGTAAGTTGATAAGGGATAGTAAACGATTAAAGTCGAAAAAGCAATTTCTTTTTTACTAGGTTTTATTATTGAGTGGAAGACACACTAAATTATTTAGACAGAATTAAATAATAGGAAATAAATATATTGAAAATTTATAAATATTGTACGAAAGGATACATATTTATTTATACGTAAAAATAAAGCGAGTTAACTAACCAATATATTACGATAGTAAAAAAGAAAAGAAAAAAACAAAATAATGGCAGATTAAACTAATTAAGATAATAGTAATAATTAATACTAGTAAATAATAAGCGAAGTAATAATCGAAGCCAAAAGGGCAACAATTTCACCGGGTTATTTATGATTTAATAACTATATACTCTTAATATTAAATGAAGTATCCTTCATTACATTTGCCTACAAGATCGGCTCCCATTGTACATACACAATAAATAAATAATTCGTTTAAACTATACGAAACATCGCTATGAAGAGGTACCGCAATATATAGATTAAATATATATATTAAATATTTAAAACAGCTTAAAATTGCTATTTTAAAATCATTTAAAATAATAATTCTAATGAAATATAAAATTCTTTGGCATCCTAAAATGGTTTATAAAATTTTAAGTATAAAATAGTCCGTTGTATTTCATTAACAGTAACTTAACGAAGCGTGGTTAATTCTCGGACACGATGCCGAGTTGTCAATACTAAAGAGATACGATAATTCTTTTGTATAAAATTATCCACAGTGCGTATACTGAAACAATACCATTGAATGATAACGAACGCCGAAACTTTGCGCAAAAGACTATTTTTATACAATATGCCTTGCACGTCATACAATGAAAAGGAGATCAATCGGAGCAATTGAGGCTTAGTTTCTTCATGATTCTTCAGTTCGTCCGATGAACTTCCTTTTCAGGCTGAAAATTAAGAAAAAGCCTAAATTTAAAATCCATCATCAATATTTAAAAAAAAAAAAATCTAGTATTTTTCAATTGTTTGATGATAATAAGAAAAATATAATGTTGAAACTTACGCGCAAAGGGTAGAGGAATGTGCTGACGACTTGTTGACGATGTCCGGATTTAGCTTGACAAGTGTAACCACCCATATCTTCCCATAAGAGTTCTTCTATCAATAGATCACCACTGTCCAACAGTCTGTGTCGCAAATTCGTTGATAAACTTAGAGGTACATTAAAATTATCCAACCAAGTGATCTCTGGCGTTGGTTTCCCACTTGCCCTGCATGGTAGCACTACGGTTGCTCCTATGTTGGCTACCAATGTGGGTGAATAAAGGGTGATCGTTGGGTCACTTTCGGAGCTGCAATTAACACTACCTCCTTCGCCTATAATAAACAAATTTTTCATAATTTAGATGGACTATTTCTTTCAATATTATTTTTCCAATATATGAAAGTCCTTCATTTTTAAATTTGAGTGGGCCATGATTAACTTAGCCGCCATTGCTCAAGGACCGATAGTATACTACTGAATGTCGAAAAATTTAAGTAGTTTAAAAATTGAAGAAAGAAATTAGTTATCAAAATTTAATATTAAATTCAATTCAAGTAATAAAATTGCATAAGTTGAGGGGTACAATTATTCTAAATGAATCCTTATCGAAATGTACGAGGTATATAAATTATAAAGGACGGGCATATTTAAATGATTGACGGTTAATTGTTAATTGTATTCCACTTACTGTTAACCCGCAGCCTCGTAGGAGTGGATATCTTCACCTCTCTTGCTGAAACCGACGCACAGTAGATCAATCCAGCATCATCCGGAGTAACACACTCTATCACGAGCTTTGAATTAATTCGAGCCACTCCTTTCCACTCCTCGGACGGATCGTACAAAGAATGTGTGCTGGTTTTGACATAATCGACGAGCTACCGCAAAAATGTACATTTTAAATTAATAATTTGTTCGTTCTCTTATTTCTATCATAACTATATTCACACTAGAACAACAGGTGTTTCATGTATGTCTATCTTGAAATTAAAAAGAAAATATATAAATTCAAAATAATCATTTTAAGGGTTTAGTTGTTCTAGCGTCTTCTAGATATTCACTTGTTCATTGCTGCCACTTCCTGTGAACCAGAAGATTTCCGGTGGCGGGCTGCCGCTTGCTTTGCATTCCAACTCTACCCTGCTCCTGTATCAAAGAAAATAGTAATAAATATTAATGTTGTCTATTACATTCAAATTTTTGTAGAATTTTATGTAGGATATTTACCCCACGGTTGTCTCAATGCCGTTCACCGGATGCTGGGTGACTTTGGTCCAGGGTTCTACAGGCTGAAAGTTTGAATTAAACTTTACTTATCATTCTAAAATAAATTTCTATCAATTTTGTATGTTCTATAGATATTGATTGTGACACCAGCACAACCAAAGTCATTTATTTTATTAAAAAAGGGATTTGTGATGGGATCAGGGTGCCCCTATACTATGAGGGCCAGAGTAGCTCCAGGACCGAAGTAAAGAGCAAAGGTAAAAAAAAATTGCATTCAATATTTTTGGACTTAGTAAATGGAAGGCTTATAACGGAGTCTCCTGCAAAGTGGGGCCCAAGGCTGTAGCATCTCTCAGACCTCTCCTTAATTCGGCATTGGATGGATCCGGTCCCTCTAAAATGCGGACTGCACCCCACAACCCCATCAAAAATCATGAAAATAACTAAATAACACCCCGTATATGTATATCAATTTATTTTCAATTCATTTGAAAGTAGATATACCGTATCTAACTGTTCTGATGTTAAAGAAATCTGTTTTCTGATAAGATCAAAAAAATCTTTCCATTCCCGTTACCTTGGTCTCGGAAGATCGTGACCCGTATTCCGACAATGGGGTCAAAAAATTCGAACTATGGTCCACCATTTGCCTGCCTATGCTCCTACGTTCGGCAGCTCGTTCGACGGCATGTCTGGGCAGGAACGAAAAGGGATGCCCCGAAACTACCGTATAGAACAACGCGGTAATGCAGATGAGATTGATCAGCATCGAACACGATCGCATCTGAAATCATAAACGGGATCCATCGTGAATGAGTGAAAGATGATTGTAACACGGTTACGGGATAACGATGTTACATCAAAGTACCGATTGAACCATCACGAAAGGACGTTGTGCAATGATTGAATCAGAGCGAAGTTTAGGGACATTAACGTGACGCTCTTTTCGTAGAAACGAGGACCGATTGAATATATAACAACGCGGATTTAATTGTCCGGTTAGGTGTGCGCGATTTATAATATCGATTCATTCGACCTTCCTCGGGGATACGAATAAACACAATTGGCAACAATGAAATTAAACTCTTGAGAACGCGACGATAATTAAATATCTTCGGTAATAACGAACACAACACACATTCCATTCTTTCTCTTTCTCATCATCGGGATCGTATTACGAATTAATTACATTCAACAATTCCTTCAGATAATACATTCAATAACATTCTGATTAACCGTACATGTTTGTTTTCCCGCGTTAATATTCGTGATTCGACAGACTTTCGTTAGAGTTACGTGATTTAAAGAGAATCCGTACCGATATCGTTCGGAAACGGAAGGATTTCCAAGAAAGAGTGGGAGATCGATGCCGAAAGTTAAGGAATGCCAAACTCTTTCCGAGTCGATGATTTTTTTAAACGAAACGAGTTTTTCAAGTGCATCTCGTCGACCAAAGAATGTAAGTGTATGCGTGTAGATTGGTCTCATGGCCTGCTCGTTAAACTGGGCATCGAAATCACCGAATTAAAGATTTCCTTATCTATTGTCACTATCGTCGCGTAGGAAATACCTGGATACCTTCGGCGCGCGTCGTTCGTGACGGTGTTTAAATTGTGCGTCGGGTGCGCGAAGAATGTCTGATCATTCGAATGCCGCCGCTTTTTATTTTAATCTCTGTCCTTACAATTCCTCCTCTTCGACACGTTCGTTAAAGAGCTTTATGGCCCGAACGTGCTTAGCCGTGCCGATTGACTTGGGTTTCACTCTTTTTCTTTTTCTTTTTTTTTTTTTCCAAACAAACGTATCGCATGGAATCTCGCGAATAAAATTTAGAATGCTACACAGCATTTTATCTGTAAACGGTCGTCTGGTCTCGTCTCGGCCTTTTCGCTTTCATTTTGTCCTCTCCCTTTTTTTCGTTTCTTTTGCGCTTCACGGAGAGGAAGGAAGGTCACGCGTACCGTTTAAAGAAAGATTAAGTAACTTGTCGGTTAACGAGGCAACATGTTTGGAAATGAATTCGCGCTCGCGTTAATGAACACATATGCGGTGCAAAAAAATAAGGGAGAATCTGGGAACGATATAGGATGGCGAACGGCCGCTGTATGGTACGGTTACGTTCGGTCTGGTGTATCACCATTTTTTGTTGCAAATACGCATACAGAGACGTCCCGTGGAGAGTTAAAAGTGATCTCAACTTCCGAGATATATTGGACGGCTTTTATCTCCTCATAATGAGACGAGTAATTCCTTCGATGTTTCAAATGAAATCCCAACGAGAGGTGTCTATATTTAACCAATTACGGAAAGGATCGTTTGTTAACTTATCTGTGTAATAATTAGTTGCGTAAGCAGAACCAATCGTGGTTATTATATAAATCGAAAGCGACAAGGTACAATCGAACAACATTTTATCGGAAATATATAAAAGCTTGCAAATCTCGTTGTGAAAATAGTACGTAACTACTTGATACTTCTCTTTTTACTTTTTGATAATAATAAATCTAACAGTAATTAAACGTAATTTTATCCACTTTGTGAGATACAAATATATCACGACTTTTTTTCCCTCTTTGAATGTAAAATTAGATTTCAACGTTTGAATAGTTTTATAATAAACCTCGTATTGACTACGATATTAAACGAAGTTAATTAAGAAAAGATAGAAACGTTTCGTTTAGTGCCAGTAGAATAATTATAAGGATTAATCGTGTTGCATTAAGATAATTCTTCGGTTTGAAGCGGAGCAATGTATTATTTTTTACCCAGATCCATTATAAACTTATGAATGGTGTTTAATTTCTATAAAATAGGCGGAATATGTTATTCTCTTAGAATACTATTTTAAATACCTTGAAACTGAAAAATCTTCAAACCTCTTACAGGAAATATAAATATAACTTTGTGAGAAAGACCAGGCAATTTTAATTTAGGTGCGGCAAAAATCTGAAACACAGAAGCCGAAAATTCAAGAATGTTGCTTGCAATTGTTACTCGTTAATATATATTGTGACTAAAAATAGAATGCACTTCTTGGAAGATTAAAAATCCGTTACATTCTACACCGTTACAATTTATAACAATGTTATTTTAATTATTACTATCAAGCAATTGGTTTTTATTAATCTTACTTTTGTTTTTTTTATAAATTAAGTCTACACGTGACTCGACACGGTGCTTACGTACAGAAGAATGAATTTCGTGTTTCGTAGAAAAATTCGATGATCTTTACTTACCTTGGTCGATTCGAAATCACGACGGATAATTATCACAGGTAGATAAAATTCGCAGAAATATTAATCCTGGTACCGCTATGAGATATAACTTTTGATAAAGATACTCGCGCCGGAGATGCTTTCTAGGAGCGCACATCACGGGAGGAGGTTTCGAACCGAATGATGCAACTTCTTATACAATCTTCGCATCTTCCCTATGATCTCGCGCCCTCTTTCCGCGGAGCCCTTTAACGTGTCTTAATCTAGAGATGATATCGAGGAGACCATAAACCGTGATAAGAAAATATGCAGTGTCAAACGTGATACATCAAAGGAACGAACGTTTTCGTTTCTCCGCGGAACACTTTCTTTTCTCTCGGCTTAAACGAGTCGTGACTTTAGAAATATATCAGGTCGAGACGGCGTCCAAGAGGTCTATTATAATCAGTTGAAAGCGTCGTTAAACGTAGCGAAATTATTTGATGACTCAACTTTTATCACTTATCAAACACCATGAAACATTGTTTGATCAGAGAGACTAATATCTGATATCTCTTTGTCAACACTAGAACGATCGAAATGACGGGTTTCAGATTTCTTTTTTTTTTTCTTCTTCTTCTTTTTAGGAATTTTGTTGAAACTGCGTGTCGATCTGTGATTTAAAAATCGGTATAGATCCTACGTCGGTTCCTCTAGTGTTGAAATATCGAACTTACCATATCTTCTGGGACTATCGGTTACTGGTGAAAACGAAAGGCAGGATTCACTAATAATCGTCAGTTTGGCAGCGGCGAATAAAAATACTGACTGAGTGTCGAGGAACAGTTATTGACACATTTATATATTTCGAATGTAGTGATGGGCGCCCTCGCTTATCCCCGATTGGACGACATAGTTAGGAGTAGGGCAGTAAAAACCACACCAAACAATTGAATTCATTATCCGCGCGTCTCGTTTGTGCACACGTAATAGTACCCAATTTACTTCCACCCTCATCTATGCTCATCGATTTTTACTTCGAAAGAACTGTCACGATAATTAGTTTTATTGAAACTGGTCATAGCAGGAAGGAGACGTTCGCAATTACCCCCCAACGAGCACCTTCTCCGTTTGGATACCGAAACGTTTGGCTGTCTAAACTTTCATACTGGTCCCCCCGATCCCCTCTCAGTTTGTCACCGAGTATTTCTAATTGAAATCCCCAGGAATGTGTGAAAACAAACAATTATACGACACGAACAATAAATTGGAAGAATACTGTAACAAATTGATCTTATTACATTAGGAGACACGCTGATGACTTATCGTTGAACCCACATTCATAGTGCGGCTTTTTTAACTTCTTTTCGGAGTTATCGTACGACGTTTAAGTCTAGCCAGTTCCACTAGCTCGAATAGAGCGTCCATATGCACTGTTTTAATTCATGTATTTGTAATTTAACATATTTGTTACCTTTTTCGTTTATCAAATAATAAATGAATCAAATATTCTTTAGATTAGACAAATTTTCATTTTGAAATATTGGTAACATAAAGTATAGATTTTATTATGTGATTAAATGAATTTTATAATTTATGGTTCTTGAAATGTATCTGATAAAAAAAAAAGTATAAATATTAATATGTAACAAAGAAAAAGAAATAGTAATGTTGAAAATTTGTTTGGCAGACATTTGTTCATTTATAAAGTAACGTATTATTCTTAATTAATAATACATTTTACAACCATCATCTATTATTTTCATTAGTTTTTCACTTGTTCGATTTGATTACCTGCTGTGGTAATCTGAAATCACGAATCACAATCAGTGGATATTTTATCATCGAGGTTGACTGAAGAAAAGTGGTACTATTTTCAATCTATTACATTATTTACTATTAAAAGAAAAAAAGTTTGATGTTCAAAGGAACTTTAATAAATTACTGTTGTAAATAAAAGTTATGGAACAAATGAAAAATATGGAAGAACAACTCAAATGGTAAAACATTAATAATATAAACTTTATTTACATAAGTTTCTTACGATATACATTATTTTATTTATACATTTAATATTACATATATAAAAATACAAAAACAATTCGTGATTTATTTTAAAGATTTCGTTTGGATTTTGTGAAGTAACTTGGTCGTGATATTAAGGTCCTTTCTCAAATTTTTCAAATTTGTATCCATTTCTTTTGTACTGTTCAGTATATCCTGCAAAGCCTGTAAAAAGGAAAGTATTATATTCAATTCTTAGTACAAAAATGTAGATTTTTTAGCGGTAAACATAACCTCTAACCATTCTTATATTTTGATAAAGCATTTTGTTACTTTTATCTTCATGGCTTTTTGGACGGTCATAAAAGGATGCATCAGATTGATCACTCGACATATTTGATTATTTTCTTACGCTTGTTTTTGTACAAGAAATTTCACCCGCTCTTTTTTGAGTTAAATATTATCAACTCCTGTTTCCCTCCTATTATACGATATAAATTCCCTAGATAATGAATCGAATTTTAAGGGTTCCCTAGAGAAAATGACGTGGGAGCGGAAGGAAGGCCCCACTATTCCCTATTCCCTATAATATTTGAAAAAGAATTATAATAAACAGATTTTATATCCCTGTGGCTTGGGGATCAGAATACAGCCACGGTAACCCCTGCCTGTCGTAAGAGGCGACTAAAAGGGGGATGTAATGGAGCGAGCAAGGCTCGAGAAAAGTATGATATGAGAATTCTACTGTACTGACTGTAATGTTGTATTGGGCATATAAGTAGAGTAAGACAATATCTGGGAGAGAACCTTTAATAAACGAATAAACAGACATTAATGTCTTTTATTATGCAAAAATAGGAGGTTCTAGGTTGTATTCTCCCCAGGTTCTTCCAAAGCTCTCCCGGCTCTCTGTAAAATCTATGATGTGAGATTTTTCCCTTTATAGCTTACATTACACTAAAACGAGACTATCCGCGGAGATATTTTTTTAGTTCATGATATTGATTCTTTACAGTTTCAAACAAATTTGTAAGAGAGCGCTAGAAACCCGTGCCTGCTTCGTATTCATTTGACTTTCTAAGGAACGATTAGTTCAAATTGTTATTATGATTAAAATTATTAAGAATGTTAAATTAGGTTACTTATAAAATGATATTATATGCGTATAAAGTTTACCGTTAGATATTAAAATAACTTTCGTCAGCATGGAAATTGACATATTAATGTGACGCATGAAATATAACCAATTCAGAATGAATGCGTAAGTTAGAGTTTAAATTGTTATCAATCATTGTATGTGTCTGGTGATTAATAATGTATCATACTTCATATATATATACATTGTATTAAATATTTTATACTATTACAGGGTTTGAGAATATTGTTTCAGAACTTTATATGGTAATCATAATGCAGAAAGAATGTCATCTTTTGCAGAAACTTGTTACATTCTAGTTACAGTTGTTAATACATATTATTGAAATGATTTAATAAGTTTTCCTAGTATGTTCATATAGAATCTATAGTTTAAGATATTTGCAAAACCATTATGATGGAAGCACAGACAGATGTTTCTGTTTTGCGATCACCAGTCAATTTAAGACATATGCATACTGGAAACGTTTTTTATACACCTTTAACTTCATTTGCTGGTATGTACATATATAAAATATAGTTATATTTTCTCCATGAATGGTTACTATGATCATAAGTTCATAAAAGTTCTATATCATAAATATTTATTGGTTATTTTTTTTAATTATTTTAAATTTGTTGTAATTTCTGTAATTGTTACAGAAATGTGGTATCAGATATTTTTATGGGCTCTGTTTTCTTCAATTTTTGTTCATACCATAGCTGGTGCAATTTGCTTTGCTACATTGAGACAACATAAATACGGAAAGTATGTATGTTATTATATTATAATATAATAACTTTATATGATTGATAACAAATTAAAGAGATAGTAATTGAAAATTATTTGTGCATTTTAGTAATATTAAATTAAGTTTCCTTGTGTATTTACTGTTTTAGAATAGTTAGTAAAGTAACTAAATAAATTTTGATTTAAAGATTCTTCCCATTGCTGATTATAATAATGGGTGTATTATTACCACTAACATCAGGAGTTCTTAGCTCTGCTGCTGTTGCTTTTGTGTACAGAGCATCTCGATATCCACTGCCACCATTGTACGCATTATTTTGGGGTATTGGACAGACTGCTTTAGCAGGATGTGTTGGATTTACCAGAATATTAGCAACTTTGTAATATAAAACACTGTTTGCAAATGAATGGTGCACAAGATGTATTGTTATTCAGAAATGTATGTAATGTATTCCAAACATTATTGACATTTTAAATCAGGTGAATATTTTATCGGTATTATTTGGTATTAGTAATAGAAGAGAATATAAGAAAATTTGTACATTTATGAATGTATGATATTGTACAAATGTAATGAAAATTATAATTAAAATAATATTCATGTTAATAGCTATTCCAAGTCAATTCAAACATTTATAAATGTTATTTGTTATTTATATAAAATGTATAATCTGTTTAAAATTATTACTACAATTTTTCATTATAATTTTCTAACCACTAAATATCTTTATTTCTTAATATAATTTATTGCAAAATATAGTATAAATTTTTTGAATGTATTTTTACACAGATAGACAATACTTTATATTTATGTACATTTATATGCATTCATTGTTATGGTTTATCAACTTTTAAATGTTGTTTATAATTATTTGCAATATTTTTTATTTCTATCAATCCAACTTCTAGTTCTTTCTGAATATCAGCTTTTGTAGTTTCATCTGAAGAAGTTAAACTTTTTAGCACCATATCTGTAATATAAACAATAATTTAATAATATAGATTATGTAAATAATATTAATTAAGAAAGATGTTTAAATTATAAATTATTTCATACCATGATATTTGGATAGTATTTCCATTGTTGAAGGTACTAAATGTGTGTGAAGAAATGAAAGAACTGTGGATACATGTCTTCCAGACATGTATAAAACATTTTGTGTTACTGCAGTGAATAGTATACTTGTAACTAAATGCAATGCCAGTGCAGGATCCTGTGTAGCATTAAGTTCCTCTAGTAATGCTTCCCTATGACCCCAAATAAATGGTCTTTCTTTCTTTTTATCATACTTTTTTAATACTAAACAACAAGTTGCCATTGCTGGTTCTACAAAATTTAGAAAATCATCTAGAGAATTTCCAGCAACTGATTTGTGTATGTTGGTTAAAGGTTCTTTAACATCTTCAGGCAAATCTAATAACATCTTTTGTCTTGTTTCTGTGGTAATATTATCAGGGAATTGAAGCATATTTTGTTGTGCAGCTAATTTAAATAATTCATTTACAAATTCAGTACCAACAGATTTTAGTAAGTACTTTGTTAAAGCAGGCTGATCTGTTTTATCCATATGTTTAATACCCTTGTCAAATATTTTGATATTTGTTATTAAAACATTAAGACGTTCTTCAACTACACTTAAATTAGTAGTTTTATTATTTTGTGCTAGCTGATCTGCAATATGTATGGCATGATTATTTATTTTCGGTTGCAAATATGATGCCAGTTCTTCGACTAAATCATCAATAACCGATAAATTATCATCTTTCATGATTTCATTTGTTATATCTTCGATAGAAACTAATTTGTGTTCTATCCTTCCAGGCATGACTTTTACATTTTCATCGTCAGAATCAATTTCACGAGTTTTTCCTGGTAAATATTTCTTTTTAGTAGCTTTCGTTTTTGTTTCTCTTCCTTGATTACCACCACCGGCTTTACCACTTGTAGCCTTCTTTCGACGTTCTTCTTTTTTACTTCCCCTATTTTCAAGTATTAAATCTACTGATTTATTTTTAATCCTATTTTCTGCTATCGTTTGAAACCATTGCCCACTGGCTACTGCTTCCCTAGCTTTAGTTTCCGCAATGGTCTCAAACGATTTACTTAATGATTGCAAAAATGCATCAGATGCTACTACAGTTTTCGCAAATACACGTGTATTATTACTATTCATCTTTTTTTCTGCAATTTTAAGAAGCATTTCCATATCTTTATCAGTAAATACAGATGGCAGAAGAGGACTGATATCAATAAATGATCCACTGGCAACAGCTTCTTCAATATTTGCGTCTACCTGATCCATAATATTGGTACCCACAGCAACAGAGTCTAAGAAGATTATATTTTCATTTGGAAAATGACGTTTCACGAAGTTTGGTGGATCTGATATTCCAAGACGAGTAAGTGCATCATACTCTGGTAATGGATAAAAAAACGAACATATAAATTTCAAATATTCTCATATCATGAAAATTATTTCATTATAAGGTATAATACCCACCTAAATAACCATTTTGTTTATAAAAGTTATCTACCCATTCACTTTGACTTTTGGAATATATAGTTGGTATATAAAGACTATTTGTTCCCTGTTTTCCTGCTATCACACCAGGTATTTGTTTCATTTCTTGTAAGCTATCCAGGATTGCTGTTGATAATAAAGAAACACATATATCAACATTTTAAGGACATTATTGAAATTGACACTATTCACTTACAAAAGAATATTCTTTCTGAAACAGAACATTGTCCTAGAATTGCAGATAGTGGTGTAGGCTTTGTAATAGCAGATAATGCTCCTCTTATTTTAGCTTTGTTTCTAGCTATAAAACTTTCTGTGTAAAAAACTCTGATATCTTGTGTGTCTTGTTTGCCAAGTATCGTCTTTCCCAATTCTTTTTCAATCAGTGATTGTAAAAATTCAGCTGGTAAGTCATAGTATATTGTTAACTCTGCTACATTGATACAACCATGTTGTGCTAGTTTGTCATTGATTTCTTCAGCAATTCTGTTCGTGTAACTTTTATCAATAAGTTGGCCAAGTATTATTTTCAAGCCTTTACTGTGCTTTTCTATTTCAGTTGCCACTTTAGATACTTGGGATAAGTTGACATTGAGAATTTGTGCCAGGTCAACCAAATTGATTCTTCCACCATGGATGTATAACTCATTCTTAATTTCCTTTCCAAGATGTTGTGGTGTAACATATTCTTTACCATCATTGGTAAATATCACATCCAGTAATTTACTTTCTATTAATTTTGTTACAATTTCTATGCAGTTACGCTCTGACAACCTGTATAAAATAATTATGATTATAAAATTATTGCAAGTAAAAATTGTAACATAAATATGTTATATCAGTTAAAGTAGTCAAATTATAAATTAATTTCTGTTCGTTTGACATCATAAAAATTGCAATTTCATTCTACAGCTGTTTTAAATTATTTTACAGTAAATGTCATTGAAGATGATAAGTTGCTAAACAAAAAAGAAGAGGACAACAGATGTTTATTCTCTATGAAAGCAGATCATACTTTTGTAGTGTAGAACTGAGTTGGGCTTTTTGGAAATCAGCTGCCAATCTCTTAACTTCATCCCAATCTACGGTACTCATTTTAAAACGTTAAAAATTTTATTGCCAAGTTGTACTGGACACTGGTTAAAGAATTGTCAGAAAAAAGATAGGTGTACCGATTGTAGCATTTGCAGGGACATCTAGCCTATTAGTAGCGAACTATAGTATTATCACTCTTCAGGAATGTGAACTTGGAATTCATGATAACATTTCATTCCAAATGTTTGTTTTTAAACTTAGTTATATACGTGATAACAATATTAAGAAATATATATATAGATATTAAAATTCAAATGAAGAAGTTGATTATGTTATTATGAAACAAGAGGTAATCTGTTCTCCGTTTGAATATTCAAAATTCAGTGTTGCCTAACAACAAATATATAGGGTAGAAACTGTAGAACTACTGTTAGCAGGGATTTTTATTGAAGCACATTCTAGGATAATTTCTAAGGTTTTTAATGTTTTACACGTGTCCTGTACATAAGTATATAAATATGTATATTATTACTTAAAAATAACTGGAGTAAACAAAATGCAATATCTTTATTGTGAAAAATCAAATACTAAGATTATCTACCTCAAAATTCGTGCTATGAGATAACAATATTACGATATATAAGGTTAGACTGTGCATGTTACATTATTGATTAAATTTTGTTTTATTGTCTGATTGTTTATCATTTTTATTCAATTATATGTTTAATAATGTATATAATTAGTGATACTGATTTTATACATTTTTAATTTTTCATTAGGAAATTCGTGAAAATATGTGATCAGTGAACTTATTGTTTGTATAATAAGTTTTTTAGCTTGTGTAACACTGCAATAAAACCATGGGAGAATAAAATACATTTAAAAATAATAATATGAATGAATGGTGTGGTTTCAATAAATATGGTTTGTTATAAATATTATAATTGATCATCTATATATTTTATGGTTTAGCAGAAAACCATATTTATATGGATATATTATGATGTTACTTGGAAGCACCTTGCATGAGAATTATGATAATAATCATTATAAACTAGCTGTAAGTGTTAAAAATGAAATGATTTTAAATTGTACTATCACAACTTATAAATGTTTGTAAAGTTATTGTAATCCAAATATTATTATTGGCATACAAATACTTATACATTGCACATTTATTTTAGTTTGACAAGATATTAATTAATTATTGTATTATACATTAATTAAATATGAAGAATACGTACATTTTCGACGACAAAAATTTATTTTTTCGTCGAAAAAAAACAAGATTAGCTTTTAGAAATCGAAAAAAGATGTACCAAGCTTATTTTAAGTTAGTCGCGAAAAATTCCAAAAATGGAAGTAGAAAGTCGTGAACCTTTTATAAAATGAATGGAAGTTTAAGATGCAAGGTACAGAGCCCATTGTGGTCCATTAAAACTTCTTTCTCAAACTTCGCCTTAATTTTGTCTAAAAATTTTACCAACTGCATCCGAATGTTTGTTCTGGAAGTTTGTAGGTACCAATGGTGAAAGAAGTTTTAATTTACTACACTTTGAAAGTTTCGTTTCTTACATGACTATTTTGCGACCTCTAGGTTTTTCATTGTTCTATAACTTTAAAATAGTAAAAGATAGAAAATAATATCATTAAGAGAAATTAAATGGTGTAAAATGGAGGATCACAGGATACATGCATCGGTACCGGAAGTGGAGGCGTTCCAAAGATTTTAAGGTCAATTATATTTTTTTAAATGGAATTGTATATTTTATTAAATGTAAATCGCTGCATTTTATTATTCTTTACAAAGAAGTATTAGGGTACTTGGGCTAAAAATTGAATAGTTCAAAAGATATTCTAGGGAGGGCCCCAGGAAATACCTTTTGCGAACACACCGGGACCTCCCACCCCTGGTGCCCCAATCTCGGGGGAGGGTCTAGCCTTTGAGGGGCCCCAGCCACAGCCCCCTGCGGCCGCGCGATCGATGTTGGGGCCACCCGCCTCTCCCCGGTCTTCCTTTTTTCGTGGAGAGACACTTAAGTTTTCCCTGTCCCTCCTTAAGATATCTTTTGAACTAATCAATTTTCGATCAAAGTATGTTAATATTTTTTTGTAGAGAATAATAAGATGCTGTGTAATTCAACTACATAGTAAGTGAAATAAGATTGGTTCAACGATGCACATCGAAGCTCACATGTCCTCTTCGTCCATCGCTTTCACGTTTGCTCGCTCGGTGGCTCGTTGGGCGCGTTAGTCCTCTTCTTAACGCGGAACTTTCGACCTCTCATATGCTGGCGAATAACGGAGCTAGTTTAGTTTATGCTCGACTCTGTCGTCGGTCGGATCAGTGGAGGGATCAGTGTTTGTCGGTGAAGAAGAGAACCGACTAGACGGGACGCGCGGGACTCACGATATCTTCGTGAAGAGTAATCTGAACGAACTGGTAAATTCGATCGACCATTTTCAATTTCCGTTCGTGTACATTCCATGATCTTCCTCTATGTTTATATTGCTATTCCTTGTCCCGAGTGGTGAATTTTTCTGCTATCATTTATTTTCCTTATCTGGAGTTAGACGGAATAAGAACTTGACCTTCAGCCATGAACTCCACGAACCACTTTTCGGCGATGATTCATTCTCGTGGGTCGTTCAATGGTCTCCACGCGACGACGCACTGCCGGTAGTGTTGGCGGAGATTAAAACCGTGTGGGATTAGAAAAGGAGTATTAGAGTAGACCGAGCTACGACAGCAGCGTGAGTGCAACGCATTGTGCTTTTTTTTTTCATGACAAATGACTTAGAATTCTTTTGATAATGAACTTACGTTGCGCACATGTATAATACTGTCGGTGGTATTGTTTTTAAAAATGTCACCACCGTCATTAAAATACTCATTATCGTATCGCTATCTGCGTTACATGTATGTAACGTTTTCGATCTTCTATATTTGTTCTGTAATCTATAAAGTAATATAATACACAAACGATGAGGACAGTTTGAAAGTACATTATTTTATTTAAAAAAAAATTGTGTATGATCGATGAATACTTTCATAAATGATTTGAGAAAATTGACACTTATTGTCATTTCTAATGATTTATTTAACGGCTATTTTATTTTTACAATTATATTTCACTTTTTAGGCAATTTTTGTTAAACAATTGCTATTCTCAGAACCACATGTTAGAGTAGGTTGTTTACCACATGGGGGGTGGAGGCTTATCAAAGGGGTAACATTTTAGAAATTCCGTAAAACAACAGTGTATAGCGTTGATTTGCTATATTACTGTCATATTATAATCTTTTTGTCATATTTGAGATACTAAATTATTGATTTATGCAAAAGGAAAGAATTAATTTTTTCGATCTGAAATTTCTCCGCAATATCCAAAGATAAAATGAATTTTGATAATTCGCTCATTACTATTCAAAAAAAAATCATTTATAAACAATAATACAAAGCTTTTGTTTCCAATTTTACCAAATTAAAAATATTTCAAGTCTTTAAGTTACAAATTAAGATAAAATGAAAAAAACATTACATTTATAATTTTATAATTTTATAAAATTGATATCGGTACCAAATTTTTAATTATAGCAGTATGACAATAGAATGCTGTAGTATTATTATATCAGAATGAACCGCTGAAAAAGAATTTTGTCGCGTTTGAAACCGTGTAAAGGCTTCCTTTTCCGCATTGATAGAATTTGTTATCAATGATATCCGATGTGCGACGTGCGAGAAGGTTAATCGGTGGTTAATCGGCACAAGAGACAAGCTTGATACACATACTTTGCGTGCTTCGGTCACTCAATTTGAATGCAGATTAGTGTCAAGGTTAAAAGAAACCGATTCCTTTTTTTCCAGCAAAGAATTTGTGTAAATTGTTGGTTAAACAAATGCACATTTTATAAACACGATGTGTAATCTGCGAAATTATTAACGTTAAAGATTTTTATTTATATTATATAACAAGAGCAGATAATTTAAATGCAGGTTTAATTAGTTAAATAAAATTAGTATCCTTCGTTGAATGATTGCTGTCTGGCTTTCTTCAAATAACTTCCAAGAAAATCCTTCATTTCTTTGCCTGTAATCATTATTTCATTTTGTGTAAAAGTTATTAATTCTTTCCTTTCGATGATGATTCTCTTTAATTAAGACGATTCGTTTAACTTCAATCGATTCATTAAAATGTTGCTCTTTGTTGATCCAGGCTTAAAAGTCAATTGCAATTGATTGACATTATCAATGAGCTCTTTCTTATTAAATTTCTTTTTCTAAGAATTTGAATGACTTATTTAGTAGTTTCGTTCAAACGATGGGGGTTAGTCTATGGTAATTTTAATAAAATACTATAATTTTTATTTTTTAATCTGAATAGCTTAGGATAATTAATTGTGAACGATCACGATAGTCAAATTGTTCGTTTAAAATATAATATAAATTGGCAAAAAGGCGAAGTCAATGAACCTTTCCGCTTGAATGCAAACATAAAGGTGTTCGTCCCCTACGTTTAGAATTAAACAGACGTACGTACATCACTTTTGATCATTACAAATTAGAATACAAATACAAGCAAGTCTCGACCGTTTAATGTTCTTCTTACTAGTTAGAAGTTGCTTTGACACTTCGTTACCACGGTGCATCATCTCGCTGGTGTTGCGGTCGAAATTTGAAACGTTTTCAACGTTGACACGTAAAATGTAACGTTTGCATTTTTTCGTTCCTACGTCAATCAAGAATCATTGTTTCGTCACTCGTTATTATATCATGCGGGAAAGAAGCGAATCAAAATAAATTAAGTTAATGAACGATACAAGTCCAAAACCCGTTTGAAATTTTTGAAAATCCTGTATCTCATAGAGATGCAAGATGCTCCATTCAATCGTATTCAATTTTTCCTCACTTCTACTATTTTAAAGCTACAGTTTATTTTAAAGTTTGTATACAACAAACACTCATTCAGTCAAGGATGATTTTTTGATGAAACATATATGGTCTAAAAGAATAACAGGAAAATATGCAAAAGAATTTTAAAGTCGTTATGTTGTATCACATGCAATAATTCGGTTATTCGATTGTATTAAATTTTGTAGTGCCGATTACTAATGACCCCCACAACGTTCAACGTTTCATTCTTCAATTTAAACTCTACACTTGTTACTTTTAATTAATATAATATTAATATTATTTCAAATTTCCTTTTAATACAACATTTCATTTTCTATTTTCTATCTTTTGAAACTAATATAATATTGATACTACTTAGAATTAAAAACTTTTTTTAAAATTATTCATTTATAATTAGTTTGTGGTATTAATTATCGGGTAACCTTCATAGTGTTCAACGTGTCCATCAACACCTTATAACATTTTCTTCTAAGAAGTATTATGATTATCCAATTAGTAATTGAGAAGGTGCAAATAATTACATGACTCACTGTATGTAACAAATTAGTAAAACATATGTAGGTGGAGTGTTCAGGGTTTATGATACGATTAAAATCAAACGGTATTGATAACTGTATTAGTCGTATTTAAATACCATTAGTGGATGAAATTTCATACTAGATGTACACTTATTAGGTTCTCTGCATATCTTGATATCAAGTTATGTACTACTTGAGAAAAAATCAGCTTTATCTTGTTTTTTTATGATGAGGAGACACAAATCTTTTATATATAGTTTGGGTAAAGTTAAATTTTTATTGAAAATATTACAAAAATTTTTGTTTAGCTTGACTAGTTAACCCTTGAACGGCTGATATATTGGAAGAATAATTTTTAAAGGAACAGTGTAAAATGTAGAATATTAAATTAAATTAAATTAAATTAAAATTGGGGTTCTCTCCAAGGTCCGCCGTCCGAGGGTTAATTATAAACAATTTAGTAAAATAAATAAGTATTCATTTACACTGCTATATTGATATCACAAGTATTTATTTAAATTTCAAATAGGAAATAATAAAAATAAAAATTTGTGATTTTGAATTAGTGATTACAACAAATATAGCAAAATATAAAATTACAAAAATTATTGATTCTACTGTTAAAATGTTAAAATGAGAAATATGTCGTTACATACGCCATTGCTTTTGATATACTGGCCCTTGTCGTCGTGTTACAAGCACGTATATGCATGCATGCACACTTGATGCACATTTATCAGCACGTGATAAGGCGTGCGAATTGTTTAACACTATGTATATACAATTCTAATAGTACAACTCTGGTAGTGCTTCGTTTTCTTTGCTATGAACTTAATAAAAATGTAACTGTAATTATTGTTATTATTCGACAAATTTTAATTTGTATAATAATTTATTTAAATTCTATTTAGTCCTCTTTACAACTGAAATTAGTAACATTTGTTACACTTATCTTAATTATTTTATCAAATTACAGTGGTACCTATACGAACTTAATCGAATTGAATGATGTTTGGACTTATACCGAATGGGACGTATACCAAACCAACTTTTCCCATATTTTGTTATATGATATCCTTACTTGTATGATCAGTCAGTTAATAATACATCAACTCCGAATATAATTGATTATCAATTTAATTTTTCCTCTGAGATAATCATTTAAAAATGACGCAAAATTCACAGAAAAAATGTATGTCGTACACCAAAGCAGACGTATACCGAGGTACCACTGTATTATTTGAGTTGGTATTGCACTCAAGCCAGGGATAATCCCTTAGCCTAAACACAAGCGGCGTTAGCCGTGCGATCGTTTCATTCGTTCTTGAGCCTTCCTCGAGTCAACACATATTAAATAAAGAGAGTTCCAAAGCGAATAGTTTAATTTCTACTCCGGCAATATTAATATATAATTATATATTTTTATAAAATAATTAAATTTAATAATATTTATTTATAAATATTTTTAGAGAAAAATAAATAAAATAAATAACTACCTCAATCAATAACACATTTTCTACAATAAACAAAATAATTTTCTTCGTTTGGATGACCGGTGTACTAGGGTCTGAAAGGACTCGGCTATCGTTTGATTAATTAATTATCCTTTCATTCGAAGCGGCAGTTGCGTATCGAACGACAGACAGATCGAAGGTGTTATAGTCGAAGGATTAACTGAAAATCCGTTTATCCTGAAAAACTCTCGGCAAAGAAGCTTTAACTAAACCTCTTCCCTTTTTTTTTTTCCGTTCCTTTTAGAGAACACGAACATCCCGGTAGTCGCATTCGAGCCGATCGAGAACGATGACGAACGCCGAGAATACAGAATCGAAAAGAAATCCTGACGGGGTGTCTAATGCCTCGAACGAGATTACCGATCACCGCCCTTTGAACGAGGACACGCAGGATGGTCATCGGCTCGAAGAGAACTCGAATTCGAGTACCGAAGGGAATCCCTTGTTGGATTCTGACCGAAAGAATTCATCGATTAAAGTTGACGTCCCGATCAAGTTGAAGAGGGATAACAGGGATGAAGAGGATCGAGCGTCGATGAATACATCCAGAAAGGACCCAGAAGCAGATGATCGAAACGTGAACGTTCCACCTGACGGTGGTCTTCGAGCGTGGATGGTCATGATCGGCAGTTTCGTGATCAATGGTGTACTTTTTAGCGTCATTAATACCTACTCGTTGATTTATGTGGAGTTGCAGAAGAGGTTGTTGGAGTCGGGAGAGACGGCAGCGTCATCGAAGGCGGGTGAGTTATGTAATTTGATTAATAGTATTTAATTATTTGTCTGAGAGACAGAAGGCATGAAATATTTCAGAGAAACTTAGGTATAAGTTAGGTCTTCAGTTAACGCTTTTAGTAAGGATGTCGTTATAAGATGGCATAAGGATCGTTTCACGTACCTTATTTGTCCGTGTTTTTTACTCGGGACAGCAGGAGGTTTTAGGGTAGATTCCCCCTAGGCTCCCCCTCGATTTTCCTTATGTTTTCCCAAGGCTCTTCCTATATTCTCCCAAAGCTTTCCATAGACTCTCCCTAGACTTTCCTTAGGTCATAGATTCACCCTGGGCCCTAGGCATTTTCTAGGCTTTTCCTAGACTGGTCCTAAGCTTTTCTTACACTCTCCTCAGGCCCTAGGCTATCCCTCCATTCTTCTATGATTCTATCAAAATCAAAGACAAATATTGGGAGGTTGTACACGATAGTGAGCTTATCATATCAATGCTGACACCTTGACTATCGTTGGGGGCCCCTAATGACTGACGCCTCAAATATAACGTAACCAATAAGTAACCCTAGAATAACCTCGTATATAACCATTCACTCCTGAGGTAAAATACATTATTTCTGAGAAATTTTCTGTATAGAAATAGTATATTTTCAATATTTTCCAACTGATATACTTAACTACTCCTCTTCCAGATCTTTCAAGATCAATGAAACTAAAAAGAAATAAATTGTTGACTAGAACAATACTTTGACAAAATGAAATAATGGATTGCATCGTAATCTGACCATTTATTATTATAGTTCTTCCCAAGTGTACACGAAGAAGATAAGACTCTTCTTTGCGAGGTCATTGTGACGATGAAATTATCATTGTCTAATGTTTTTCCTATTAATCGTTTGTACTAGACATCGTGCTTGAGCAATTCTTTTTTGTATTAGACCGTGAATGATAAACTTGCAGCTGCTCCTATTTGTTCCATTATTCGCTAACTATTTAAACAACGAAATATTGATTGTTGCATAACTGAGGACATTCACACGTTATGGCTCCCCTGGGTCAGCCTTCCGAGATAATACGTTCAACAAAAGACGCACGCTGTTATCCCTGTGTTTCAGAGAACGTTCAATTACTGTACGCGCTCGTTTTGTATCATTATACAACTCTAATTAGAATCGTCGGGAGAATGAGGATCCACGGGTTATTGAGTTTCATGTATTTTAACGAATCAATGATTTACGGCGAAATGAAATATAATATTCGACAGTGGAATTTGTTAGGTCGTTTTGTAGCAAATGACAGATTTCGAAATATACAAAGTTAATTATCATTTAATGACATAAAAGTATCGTTAAATATCAATTTGAAGCTTAAGGTTTAATGAAAATGACTGTTTAAATATTTCATTAATATTGTTAATATAAAATGGCTAGTTCTATGTCGGAATAAACAATGAATTAATCAGTTTATAGCTTAATATTGATTAATTAATATCTAATTTCCAATCGTTTATTTGTCGAAACGATACAGATATATTTTATTTAAAATTTTAATTTAAAATAATTTTTAAATTATGTCAGAATTTAGATGTTCCAAAATTAGTCACTCTTTGTTCTAATTAACAATCAGCCATTTGAGACAAGAAGAAAATAACGTACTTTAATTTTTATTTCTTCTAAATAATTCCTGTAAAAATAATTTTTGTGTAACTGGAACTTTTTTTTCTTTACTTTGATGCATTGACCATTTCTGTACCGAACTAGTAACGTGTGTGATAAGATAACAATTTGATTTGAATAAGTTTGATAAAAGAGAGATATGTACACCTTAACAACCGGTTTTTGTAAATATAATTTTTGTCATAAAATGTCTTTATCACTGATGATTCTACTAACTGGAAAAGGAAAAATGATTTATTGCTGATTCAGCTTCAGATAAAATTAACTTCTTAAAAATACAAAATTTACAAAGAAACTTTAAAGGAGAACTTGAAGTGTATAATATTTTATAATTTTTTCAATGTTTGTCTGTTTTTGTTAATAATGTATAGTAAAACAAACAAATAATCTTTTCCAATTTTTATTCGTTCAGTGCAGTCAATGAACCGCGTTATCTTACTATTTTTAATATTTACAGTTCTTCTTTTGATAATGAATTATCATATATTTTCGCTGCATATCATTAAACTGTCTAGATTTCATTCACTTAATTAGTCTTTCAATTTTCCTCATTGAAATTTTCATTTAATTAATGAAATATTCGCACGGAAAATGAATATAGAATTTTAGCAATAATTATTTTTTATTACATTTATCGATACCCAAACAGCAAGCACTTTAATATCATAGAATATAATTGCTCTTCTTAATTAGCTGATGGCCTAAATTCGTTCGCGTTTCAGGAATGAGTTCTGCGCATCGATGTTCCCTAAGACTTAATCATTGTTAAATGCACCGTGAAATAATTACTTCGGGTTGCGTATCAATTAAATCGATCGATCAGCCTAATCATCTGTGGAGTCAATGCCCTGCACAACCTGGATCTGAATTAATCGACAATTACATGGGTATTAATAGTAACGAGGGTCAAATAATATTAATCTAGGGGTAGTTACTCTTTAAAGTAGAACTAGGTCTTTGCTAAACAATAAACGAACTCTGAACGACGTTCTAAGATTGTGTACGATGATGAGACTCTTACGTTGTGCATTTAATATGACATTTGTTCGAGTTCCCTTACTTGATATCGTTGAACCTTTCATTTTCGTTTAATTGAAGGATCATTAAGAACCATCATTTATCTCAGAGTGTTCTTTAGCAGCATTCTTTAGCTTCATAATGAAAAGCAACATTGAACCAACGATGTTGTTCTTCTTAGAAAATTGTTATTCGTATAAATATTAAGAAAAGATAATTAAAAATTCAAGCTGTATATTATTTTATAACTATTTCAACTTACTGTCCTTATTTAACTATCGAATAGCGGACCATGGAGAGAACCACAATTTTAATTTAATTTTGTACTTTACATTATTTTCATTTTCTGAATCTTATACTGTCCTTTTTATTGAAAAATTATTTTCATAGGTATATTTTGTATAGAATTAATTTTCTGACAGAATGGCTCCATTGGTTCAATTTTTCTTTCATTTTATCTGTACGAAAGTTGAATAAAAATTCGAAGCTATAACTAATATCAAGATCAAAGCAAACGTATCGATGGAAAGTCATGATACAGTAGAACCACTACCTAAATTTTTGTTCGGGTATTTCAATATCAGAATATCTTCTGCTATACAAACGTTCCATTACTCAAACCGTATTCCGTTCTCTTCTGAAAATGGAAATGTTCATTTTCGATTTTTCATTTATACGTATGTACATTTCTTTTATATCAATTTTCACGATGATCGAGAAATGAAACGTTTGACAGCTCGACGATTGATATTTGCGACGAGAAAAGTTGTCGAAAATTATCAATGATCTTTTCATTCTCTTTTAGCTTTGGTAGGGTCATTAACGATCGGTACTACATTCTTCTTATCGCCAATTTCTGGCATTCTCACTGATAAAATTGGGATTCAGATGACCACGTTTCTGGGCGGTGCTCTCGCCTCTGGTGGCATGTTTCTCTCATCGATATTTTCTAGCGAGGTAAATAGATCAATTTATTTTTATCAACATTCTCTCTTTCTTTTTTTAATTTGTCGGATGGTTTTCACGATGAAATATCATATTGACGTAATAATGTGGTAATCGCGTTATTGTAACCGACTCGAGTTATTTCTAGAATCGCTGTGCTTCAGGTGTCATTGCTCTATTTGACGTACGGAGTTATGTACGGGCTTGGTGCGAGTCTTGCCTACACACCGAGTCTAGCGATCTTGGGACATTATTTTAAAAGATATCTGGGCTTGGTCAACGGGATCGTTACGGCTGGCAGCTCGATATTTACCACCCTCATGCCGTACCTCATGGAGATCATACTCCGCCGTTTCGGTCTTGAGGGAACTTTAAGATTTCTGGCCATGCTTACCGCGATCGTGATGGCCTGCGCCATCCTCTTCAAACCGATTCCTCGTAAGTCTAAATTATCATTGTTCACTTGTTAATTTTGTTTATAGTAGACATTTTATTATTTCGTTGCTCGAACATTTAGGTATCATTTTTGTTCATTTGTACAATAAATTGCATAATATTCCATTTATATATTTTTAGTGATATTTAAAATGTTAATTATTATTACGGGGGCCATTCACTTTAACCCTCGAACGGCGGACCATGGAGAGAACCCGAATTTTAATTGAATATTGTATTTCATATTATTTTCATTTTCTAAATTTTACATTGTTCCTTTAATAATTATTTTCTCGTTTCAAATTATACATTTAATACTTGTACATATTTAGTAAGTTTCGATCACGATTGACCCTGGCTTCGCTGTTCAAGGGTTAATACTTTTGTGATAATTATGAGATTGTCGAGTAATATTTTTCTATAATTATTTTTTTAGTTAATTCTGTGTCCAGGGTGGAATCAAAGTCGAAATCAAGCTTCCAAAGTTGTCTGAAGCAAATGATTAACGTTTCTATTTGGAGAAAAAAACGATACGTGGTATGGGCTAGCTCCATTCCTCTTGCTCTGTTTGGGTTAGTATTATCATAATAATTTTTATTTAATAATTTACCATTAATAAAATGGTCATTGATTAACATTCAAACGATCCAGCTCTCGCTTAACGCTTTCTAAAAATATTGACCAGTGTAAGATCCTGAGTGTCATAAATTTAATTTAATTTAATTTAATTTAATTTAAAACGTGTCACTCGGTTTGCTTCCGGTCCTCGGTCCTCTGAGGTAGTCTCAAGTTATTTCAAACGCGTTAAAACGATTTTCACCGCTACAAAAGGTGTCAACAAGCAGTAGTAAGCACGGTTGCGAAAGTGATCCTTGTTTCTCAACAACAATCAAGTTACAGGGCGTGTAATTCAAGCCGTCGTGAAAGAAACAACCGCGGCGAAAGCGTATGAAACCAGCAGGATATAAAGTGACACGGCTTTTCAGATCAATGAGAATGTGTTTCTTTCAGGTACTTTGTGCCGTACGTTCACATTGGAAAATTCGTTGCGACGGTGTTTAAAGATTCCGATGGAAAATTGCCAATCATGTGCATCGGTATCACATCCGGTATCGGTCGATTAGTTTTCGGATACATTGCTGATTTACCGAGGGTGAACAGAATATTGTTGCAACAGGTTGGAATATTTTTTAATTTTTCTATAAATTTACAACTTCAATTATTAATATATTGATTGCCACCTGGGTCGTCGGTGACTGACACTTTGAATTTTTAAAACATTCCTTTATTTCTTTAATTTTTTAGATATCCTTCCTTAGCATTGGCGTTCTTACAATGCTCCTTCCCGTCACACCTTCGTTTCTTGTATTATTACTCATTTCCTTGGCCATGGGATTATTCGATGGATGCTTCATATCCCTTTTGGGCCCCATTGCATTTGATATCTGTGGTCGAGAAGGAGCAACCCAAGCCATTGGATTCCTATTAGGCATGTGTTCGGTACCCTTAACAGTGGGCCCCCCAATTGCTGGTCTTCTCTATGATCAAACTGGTAATTATTTATCTTTTACCTCACATTCTTTTCTGGAAAAAATAATTTTTATTTATAAATGAAATAAAGAATAATGAAATAAAAAATGTAGCATCTATTTTTGAATACTAACTTCAATCATAAGAATTTCAAGATCTATTTTTTTCTCATTATTATCGCAGCAAATACAGGTGACGTTTGCTTAATGATTTTTCTTTTTCTTTTATTTGTATAGGTAGCTACGATCTGCCCTTCTTTTTAGCTGGTATCCCACCAATAGTAGGTGCGCTAACGATGTTCCTAATAAAGTTCGTTAAGGAAGAGGATCCGAAACCCGTTAGAGGGAATACGGAGGATAAAGCTGCCTGTCAGAATGGTCGGTAAACAGGTATTTGTACATCATTCACATCTAACTAACAGAGTTTGTTTCTCCATGTGGTATCGAAAACACACACGTGCGTGTCGGTTTTGTAAACTGTATTCACGAAGGCGGTTGAAACTTTCCACGGAAAGCTTTTCAGATAAAATATAAACACGAATTTCGTCTGCTGTCAAAGGAAGAGACAGAGCAATTGGTAAAATAAATTCAATATTTCGAGAAATTATGTCTACTCAACACTTTGTTGTCTTTATCTTTTGTCCTTTGTGTTCTTTTTTTAAATATTAATTGCTTGCTTGCTTACTGGGATCCATTGCATGATTTTATTAATATTAACAATCTGTAATTTGCATGTTACACTTCTGGACTGGTGAAATTAATCAAATTTAATCTAGTACATTTAATGGGTGTCATTTTTCAAAAGAACTATGAGTATTAAAAAGAAAAAGAAAAATTAATAATAGCTTGTACTTTCTTTGCAATCAATTATTATTAATATTTGTCTCCTCTATAATATTTATCTCCTCTATATTTTATCTGTACCCATTATCGTGGTTTTCGGTGAAATCTCAATACTTTGTCTGATGTCTATAAATTGGTGCAACTTAATGCATTTATTTGCTTTTTGAATAATCTTCAGCCTTGTAATTAATTACTTATTCAGTCCAAAGTTGACACTTTAATTACTCTTTGTCTTATTGTACTGCAATAAACTGTCATTCATTGTGCACTATTCTTGGTCAGTGTTTACTTTCTATTACAGCTAATTTGTCTAATTGATACTGTCTTCTTACATCTTCAAGGTGCAATTGAGCAATCTAATTGTCTGTCTGAAAATTATTTCTATTGTAAACTTAAGTCAATTTTCTTATTTACTTTCCTCAATATTTTTAGTAGAAATATAAATTACACTGTTTGTTTTTTATTAACTCCAAGGTAAAGGTATCTCTGTCTACTAACACTTCATCTATACTATTGCTGAAAAGTCTTAGGACACTTATTAAATTTCAGTTGTATTCAAGGTAAATTATACAATTGTTGAGCATAAAATTTCGTTTTATCTGTGCCTTAAAAGTGTCCTAAGACTTCTGAACAATATTATATGTACTGCACTCTATTAAGATCTCACTTCATCATGCGCAGCAATTATCAAACAACTTTACTTTTGTAAATATTTCCGCAAATTCGTGATAATTCGTAAGATCCAATTTGCAGAGGTCTCCTTTTGCCTGTGCTAATTGTAATACCGTATCGCTTACGATTCGCAGGGTACTCGAGCATCGACTTTCTGTCCCCGTGCTTGGTGACGACCCTCAAACCCGCGTGCCACTCGCACGAGCAATCAAGCTGGAAGATGATGCGTCGAGAAGAGGACGACCATTCGTCCCAATGCTGTGGATCTCAACGGAGCGTAGTGTGCCATCATCATAAGTGCCCCGATTATTCTAAACATTCGGAGAACATGCCACTGCTTCAAACCGAGAACCAGTCACCTGTCAGTCTTTTTTAAAGGACACCTCAGTCGTCGATGTTTCTTACGTTTTAGCTCCCTGAATAAATGTTTAGAACTCGGCGAGAAATAGTTAAAATCGGGCCTCGAGGAAGCTAATTGCAATGTCACGCGAATTAAGACACGGCTTACATTTAATAGCCACGAAACAAGCTTCAATGTTCGAGCAATTTTAACCGAATTAGAGATATTTTAAAGCGGCAGAGATGTTTCTTAGAAATATAAAGAACAAATGTTCTCAGTGGATCTTCTGTTCTCTGCTCGATGGAAAATATATGAGGACTAGTCAATAAGTATGTTAATCAAGGTGGATACGGGGTGAAACATGATTTAGTAGTCAAAATTTCATTTTATTGCAGTTGGTTGGGGTTTTGAAGGAAATAGTGAAGCTCCATACTCGTTGCTGTACAGTACGAGTATTGAAGGTCTATGCTCAGTACTGTACAGTACTGACAATGAGTAATGAAGGTCTATGCTTGGTACTGTACCGAGCATAAATCTTCATTATTCGGTGCTGTACAGTACTGAGCATAGACCTTCGTTATTTTTTTCACAATTCCACTTAATTGCAATTTTTTCAAAACGACGAAATCATAATACTATACCATCTACTATTCAAAAACGATTCAAATCGTTCATTAGATTTTTTAAAAATTATTGCATTTAAAAGGTAGCATCATATTTTTCAAAGCCACTATACATATCTCTTTTAGATAACCTACTTATTGATTGGCCCTCGTAGGTGTCAATATTTCTAACGAAAAATAAATGAACGAATTGGTCAAACGTCACGTCAATTGAATGGAAATACTAGTTCATCTGAACAATAATCTATTTTTAGAAGGTTAATGTACTGTACGCGTTTGAATTCGTTATATATTTTATGCGATTTACTAGTGGATGTAACTTGTGCAAATAGTACAAACGTGTTAAGACAAGACTAAAGTATAATATGAAGATGTTGTTAATTAATTGTAACTTCATCGACATTTATTTTTAAACAATGGCATTTCAAGTTAAATATTTTTCCAATTTACGTTAGAAATAATTATAGGAATTAGGTTTTTTTTTTTAATTCGAATCAAATGTCATCAACGACGAATAAACTGACAATACCATAGAACTCTTATGCACAAAGTAACTTTTTTCATTATTTTTAATTAGGGAAAATTTTATTAGCGTTGTGACCGTTGTTACTCGTTAAAATAGAAATCTTAGAAATGCTTAAATAAAAATATTTTAGTCGGTATAATGTTCACTGTTTTAGATAAATCGTTGTAGAAATTGATCGCTCGATTAATTAATATCACTTAAATTAGTCAATTAATCGGTAGATAATATTAGAAAATTTTATAACGTTTACACATCATATCTTATTTTGATTTATATTTGATCATTCTCTCTATTTTACAGTTACAATGAATCAATTAAGTAATAAGATTTTGTTGTAGGATTTTTTTTATACCTAGATCATACGTCGACCATAACATAATTAATGATACAAAAGTACTCTATTTTCCTAGCGTTAAGAGAGCAAAAGAAACATTATTTTTCTCGTAACATTGTACATAAAAAATAGTTGGTATATTTGTCAAGTTATGTAAAAGTAATAAAGAAATACGAATGTTACAAACACACGGTTAATGAATTAATTAATCAAACTTTCATAGAGTATTAATTACTGAAACAATGCAATTTTATTTCGAAGAAAAGTAAGTAAAAAAAAAACAAAAAATCGCCGAGAAATATGTTTCCAAAAGATAAGAAATGAAATACTGCAGCTCATGTGAAAAGAACATACATCTATTCTACCACCAGTTTCTCAGCAAGAAATATGATGTGTTATTTTAGTCTTTTCACAAAACTGTCAGATCATTGTATTCCTTTACGTACGAATAAATATGACTGCTACTTCCTTCCTTCTTTGAGATGTAGTAGGTTGTTACTCTTACAAGATGTACTTATAAGCATTGAATTTTCATTCTTTGTTATCTTGTCGTTCTGTTATAGAACGATAGAATTATAGGGCATAAGCTGTTTCTATAGTTATAGAACTTAAAAATTTTAGAATTTTATTAATAGCAAGCTTCATAAGATTTTCATATCGTTAATGTGCTGACTTTTGGAAACAATATAAAAATATCGCAGAATTTCCAGTTAATTAATTATTTTAAAGAATAATTCATTTCTTGGAAATTTGACTTAGCACCCAATGACTTCCACCTATTATTTATCATGTTACAATTAACAAATTGTTCTCAATATTATTCCAAAACTTTTAACATTTAAATATTATAAATTACAGATGAGTAATTGTTTAATAAGAATTTTATCTGCCCGAAGAAAATAATTTTTTATTCTATATGCACAATTTAAAGTCATATTATTTTATAAAGAAAAGAAGTAATTGATGATGACCCAATTTCTACTCGAGTGCGGATAATAAACGTGCTTAATTATGAGTACTTATTGCTTCATTATCAATGCATTCAATTATCGAGCATTAATCGCCAGCTCGTCTATGTGTACCAATTTGTTAATTAGCGCATGCCGAAGAGCGAAAGCTCAATGTTGAATTAACAACAAGCGTAGAAGTTTGATGAGAAAGAGGTGTTGGGGTGTCAGGGATCCCGATGCATCAAATGCGCTCTCTGCATATAGACATCATCTTGGGGTATCAGGAACCCCAGTGACTCTGCGCAACGATCATCCTGGGGTATCAGGAACCCCAGTGACTCTGCGCACCGATCATCCTGGGGTGTCAGGAACCCCTGTGGCTTTGCGCATCGATCATCCTGGGGTGTCAGGAACCCCAGTGACTCTGCGTACCGATCATCCTGGGGTGTCAGGAACCCCAGTGGCTCTGCGCACCGATCATCCTGGGGTGTCAGGAACCCCAGTGACTCTAAGCACCGATCATTCTGGGGTGTCAGAGACCCCGGTGATTCTCTGCCCGCCGACCTATTATCATCTTGGGATGTTAGGGACCCCGAAGCACGGATGATACTCTTTTATGCATGTATACAGATACTCTTATTATCAAATAAGATTTTATTTTCGGCGTACATTTAATTTGCTGTATTTATCTTCTTAGTTTATCGAATAAACTCATTAAAAGGACGAACGTGTTGATTTTATTACTCCCGTATACATACATCCTTTGCATCTATGATTCCTTTCCATTTCTACACCCCTTATAAGTCTGCGTTATTTACCTGCATCCCTTACATCTCTGCATCCCCTACATTCCTGCTTTCTTTATATACATCCCTTACATCTTTCCATCCCTTACATCCATGATTTCCTTACATCCCTGTACTCCTTACATTCCTGCTTTCCTTATATACCTTCATCCCTTACATCTCTGCATCCCTTACATTTTTCCACCCCTTACATCCATGATTTCCTTACATTCCTGCTTTCCTTACATGCCTTCATCCCTTACATCCCTGCACTCCTTACATTCCTGCTTTCCTTACATGCCTTCATCCCTTACATCCCTGCATCCCTTACATCTCTGAATCCCTTACATCTTTCCATCCCTTACATCCATGATTTCCTTACATTCCTGCTTTCCTTACATGCCTTCATCCCTTACATCCCTGCATTCCTTACATCCTTGCATCCCTTACATCCCTGCATCACTTACTCGCCAAATTTTTCCGAAAAACAGCGCCCTCTGGCGGCAAAAAAAGGAACTAAAGCTTGCAAAATTTTTGGCCCTCTAGCGGGAAAAATGTGAACTAAATTTTCGATGTCGAATCAGCGCCCCCTGGTTTCGGAAAAAGGAACTAAAGCTTGCTCCATTTCTGGCCCTCTGGCGGGAAAAATGTGAACTAAATTTTCGATGTCGAATCAGCGCCCCCTGGTTTCGGAAAAAGGAACTAAAGCTTGCTCCATTTCTGGCCCTCTGGCGGGAAAAATGTGAACTAAATTTTCGATGTCGAATCAGCGCCCTCTGGTTTCGGAAAAAGGAACTAAAGCTTGCTCCATTTCTGGCCCTCTGGCGGGAAAAATGTGAACTAAATTTTCGATGTCGAATCAGCGCCCTCTGGTTTTGGAAAAAGGAACTAAAGCTTGCAACCTTTTTGGCCCTCTGGCGGGAAAAATGCGAACTAAAATTATCAGGCGGAAACAGCGCCCTCTGGTGTTAAGAAAAGGAACTAAATTTTTGAAAATATGGAATTAAATTTGTAAACTTACCTTTACTTACCTTTACTTTTTTTTTTTTTTTTTTTTAACGTGGGGAAATCTTGCATAAGACCCCCCACCGTCCCCTGGGGGAGGGCGGCGGGGGAGTGTCAGATTCTTACTGACTAAAACCCCACGGGGATAGATCCCACGGTTATAACCGCGAAGTTGAGATGTATAGGGGGAGTTCCCCCAGTACAGGACGGCACCTAGTATCGGACATTGGCTATACCTAAAAGAACTGAAATGTGACAAAATTGTTTCAACCGTCAAAAGAAAGGAGAGGATAAAACAATTGTTTGACGGGTGGAACAATTTTGTCACATTTCAGTTCTTTTAGATACAGCTAATGTCCGATACTAAGTGCCATCCGGTGTTAGGGGAACTCCCCTTAATAATGCTCAGGATCTTAAGTTATTTAGTTATAAAAAAGATCTACTAATTACTTTCAAAGTACCAACTGTACACTGCCGCACAAACTTATAGGACATGAAAATTACAAAAAATTAAAAGAAAAAAGGATCTCATCAAACGCTTTAATTAAAACAAATTTTATTTATCCAAATAAAAAAATAAATTTATACATTCTTAAAGAAGACAACATGCACCAACTTATAACAACCAGGAACAACTTCACCGTTTCTGATAAGGGTAATTTTAATTATATATCCTTTACATATGAACAGCAATGATCCATTTCCTGAGTAACATCACTAAACTATGATCTAATCATTACAATAATATTTGTCCAGGTGCGAATGGAAATGTGTTGTAAATATATACCGGTCGATTGAAGGCGAAAGAATTGGCAATTGCCAATGCTGGATTCGACTCGAAGTCTTCTTCGGGGATGCTCGATGGTGTGGTTGGTTCTCTGGTCCGCGGGGTAGTTGTGGTTTTCATGGTTGTCGTCGTCGTTGTTGGTGGTGGTGTAGTGGTGAAAATTGGGGGGTGGCTTGTCGAGCTTGGAGGTTCATAGGCTGGTAATCCAGGGGGCCCGTAATACGCATGCAATCGATTGTTGGTGGGATTAAAGCGTTGACCATTAGGACGCCATCCCCTTGGTTTATATGGCGATAAATCTGATGTTGCTAGTCCGATACAGAGAAGCACGAGGGTCAGCTGGAAAATGGAAAAGCAATTAATGGCTTAGCTGTCGTTCGCTTTTCCTGCTGTCCTTTCGGAAACACGAGGAAGAAAACGTCAATGCTGGTACACCCTTGTTTTTGTCAACTATCTGAACTATACTGGGTGCTCACCCTGTTAAGTACTATCTTACATAGGAAACATACAGCAAACAATTTTACTACTTTTTATAAGCAACACAGTGGTACATGTAAATATGTTATATTTGCAATAAATTTAAAAAAACAAAGATCACTTTTCATTATAAAATTAATAAAATTCTGATAATATTAATTTAGCTAAAATTATTCTAATGTTCATTAAAGACATTGAAATATTTAATTTAATTTTGTTTTATTTGTTGAAAGTATGTCCAGTGCTAGGAGTGACCCTGGGTTGATGCAATATTAAAAATTAAGTAAAAGAGGTGAGTTTTAATTTATAAAATAAGATGCTATTTTTATATTATATAAAATACGAATCAAGATAAATTCAACCACATATGAAAGAACAAATGAAATTATGTATTATTGTATTTATTATTATTTTCTGTAAATAAAGCAATGTTGTATATTTAATATGATTTCTATGTTAATTATGCAAGATACAGTTACAGAAAAGAAGCGAATCGTTATAATTAGCGCAAGAATTAGTTTTTAAGTCACTCTCCCATTTTGTTAATTTCTTGTTAATGATGCAAAGTCTGTCCATATGAATGAAGTGAGTATTCTATAAGATCGTCGATTAAGTGTTAATAGTGTTCCTCGTGCATAAGAAATCCACTGTCTCGTTACCGTGTTCCTCATTCTTGCTGGTCAACACCGTTAAGTCCGCTTGGAAAATTTTGACTGCTCTTTGCCCGTGTCTTTCATTCGTCTTTATATGCAGACACACGTTTATGAAATGGCGCCCAACACCGTGAATACGAAGCCACCACGAAACGATTTCGTTTCGGTGGTTATTGCTTATCGTTTCGTAACTGCAGCAAACCTATATTACGTGACTTGAATGATCATCGACCAGCAAGAAGTATCACGATGGCCATAACTTTGACTTTTGTCATGGCCACATTATTTCATGAATTTATTTGATTAGATATGAATTTATTTAATATTACGTTGTGCATTTTGTTCTAATATTTTAACACTTTGATTGGCATAGGTGAAAATAGAAGTTATGTGACGAGGGATATTAATTAATTTTTCAATATCACACTTTACATTATTCATGTAATATTAGGAGGTTGCATATTATATTCAAAACACAGGAAGATTTCGAAACACAGAAAGTCTGACACGATTTGAAGACATAAAATGATTGCAAAATAGTGGTTAAGGTTTCATGAAATTGAATACATAAATATTCCCTAAATATCCTTAACACAAAAAAGCTGGTTCTTTATTGGAATCACAATTAACTAATTTGCAGTTTAGTACTGTTCATTAAGGAATAATTAATTTCTAATTGCTCGTCTTTAAATTAACATACCATAAATGCTAAATGTTAAATTTTCTTTGTTTCGGAATTTGCCATGTGGTATATAAAAATGAAATAATAATATTATTAAAAATTGTCTTCTTTCTCCCTTAATTAATTATTCCATTATTTGGAATTTAAATTTCTAATTTCGATAACGCCTGTACCAATCAACGTGTTAATATTAATTATATTATGTTAATAATATTATCACTCAACCTCAATATACATATTTTCTACCAAAGTTACAAATTAAATTTTACTAAAATGTTGAAAAATAATTGCCAAATCATTCCACGAATTATCGGAGGTGGATCGAATGACGCGAATGTTAATTTACGACTTGTTATGTAATACTTGTTTCTGTGAAAGATACACGGTGGTTAAACGAATCTCATGCAGGATGGACAGTTTCGAAACAAGGTCTTCATCTGAAGGAGCTTACGCTTTGAATTGGTCGGAACATCAAAGGTGTGCGCACTTTGAATTACTAGGACACGATGCTGAAATAACAGGACACCTGTGCGGTGATTAATTAAGGGGATTACGTGAAACGTTAAAATTAAAGAGGTATTGCTGTTCGATCTGAAAGGTCTAATTTCATGGTACAACCACACTCGAACACTTGCATTTGTTAAATATTATTTTAAGTGACTGTAATTTCTATTCGAATTATTTTAGTTATAATTATTAGAAATAGTATAAAAATATTGTATCAGGAAATTAATTTAATTAAAACATGATAAATAAATTTTTTAGTACCTCTTACTATTCTTCTCTTTTTAAATTAATAAAAATTACCTAATAACCACAGATTAATAATTAAAATATCACAACTGACTTTATGAAAGTCCAAACAAGAAAGTCATCTTTCTAAAAACTTTGATTAAAATCAACTTTGCGTTCAGAAAGCATCTCTATCGTGTTATTTACAAATACCTGTATCCATATTGAAGAAAATTTCCCCATGGAACTGGAACTGGCATCATCTCGACGATAGGTAATTTCCTTCCCGTCTACGGTGTATTTTAAAACGTACCAGCGAAAGCACCCGTTGTAGTACATAATTTTGTCATGGCTTACGTGAACGGGAAACGTGCCTCGAATGCGGGATGACATTATGAATTCGCAAGATCGTGGCTGGTCGGTGCTCTTACGCGTACGAATTCGATCGACATGGTCCAAAAACGTGGCGTGCAAACTAATTATCGGATTGACAGTGAGCCTCACCTGACTCCGAAAGGGGTACTGGCCGAGGATCGCTTAGAACTTCCCGGCTCCCTGACGTCTCCGAACCATCCTGTGCAACATTCAGAGAATAAACTTTCGATTGACTGATCGAATTTACATTTAAAGGACAGGTAAGATTTTTTTCACGAATTTGTATATTTCTTAATTAGATACAGTGTTATATAGTACCTGCTTGATAATTCGTTGCTTCTGGAGCTCTAGAAGGGAAATTTTTATAAATTATTTTAGAATTATTATTATTCTCAATTATCAGTCGCATTTTATTGCAAATATTACCGAATTCAATTTTAAATAAGTTTCTAAAATAGACGAAATCTCCTGTTTTCATTGCGAGACCGAGACCGTTTAATATTTCAATCGAAAGCAAGCTGTTGAAATTACCTAATTAAATTTGAGGAAAATGGAAACAACCCTCTTTATTGGATAATATTTGGAGTCATGTAAACGGATCAAGGGAATGGTTGTACAGAAAATATCAATGCAGCAAGGATAGAATATTTATACGAAATTTTTCCATTTATCTTCGTCGACGAGACTGTGCTCGAATGAATTAAATGGAATTTATCGATCTATATTCCCATCCCGTCCACTCGAGTCCATTTGCGGTGACCTGTCGTTTCCGCTTTTCATTCTCGCCCGTTATCGATAATCCATAAGTCCCTTTGTGATAATCGCAATCTCGATGGATACGAAGTCCACCCTGGGCTTCTATTCGAACGTGTTTGTGCTGTCAATAGATCAATAATTTTCTTCTTTTTTTCTTTTTCATCAACGGATGTGTATGACATCGTCTGCAGTCTGCTTAGAACAGCGGCGCGGACTGCTTTACGAGCTACTTTTGTCCGTAACGATTCGTCTGGAACCATAAAACAATTCCTTTCGATTGTTGATAAGCAGAAAAGTTTTACGAGTTTGATTGATTTTAATTCGATTCGTGAATTTTTAGTGCGTAAGTTAAAATTGTGATGTTCTATTAAATTACAATCGACTAAAATGTTTAAAAAAATTACGAGGTAAATATTTAATAGTATAACTTAAAATCAGAGCCTATAAAAATAAACTTCCTAAAATAAAATAGAAAATTTCTGCTATGTTAGAAGTATGGTAATTTTGCAATAAAAGAACAATATATATTTCTTAAGAAATATTGATACAAACTATGAATCTCTTCTTCTAAATAATTCTAATGATCTAATAGTTAGTCTAGGGTTAAAATAGATGAGGGGTGTAACTTGAAATCAGAGCCAATAAAAATAGACTTCCTAAAATAAAATAGAAAATTTCTGCTATGTCAAAAATATGGTAATTTTGGAATAAAAGAACAATATGTATTTCTTAAGAAATATTGATACAAACTATGAATCTCTTCTTCTAAATAATTCTAATGATCTAATAGTTAGTCTAGGGTTAAAATAGATGAGGGGTGTAACTTGAAATCAGAGCCAATAAAAATAGACTTCCTAAAATAAAATAGAAAATTTCTGCTATGTCAAAAATATGGTAATTTTGCAATAAAAGAACAAATGTATTTTTTAAGAAATATTGATACAAACTATGAATCTCTTCTTCTGTTCTAAATAATTCTAATGATCTAATAGTTAGTCTAGGGTTAAAATAGATAAGGGGTGTCAAGATAGAATTCACGTAACCTTCTGCATCGGACAGATAGGAGTGCTAGTCTGATCGAAAGCGCAAAATATAATAGTCCGCATTGGGTACTTTTGTTCTCTGATCGAGTAGTATATCAAGTATTCTGGTCGAGTAACAAGTGGTGCACGCGTCATGTCACGTGTCAGACGCAGTTGTACACTACACCCTCGGATCTCTACCTTTTTACCTAAAAACAAGACCGGGATGTTCCTTGTCGATACTTCACCCTTCTTTTCTGGTCGCATCTCAAAATCCATTGTTTTCCCTTATTCGAATATCGACACACTGTTGTGCGTTTATTTTCAATACTGTTCTTTCTTTATCAAATGGGCGTTTAATACAAAAGTGGTATAAGTTAATTTCTTGCCTATTCAGTTTTTAACACCTCATCTCGAAAGTTTGAGCATCATTCTACTTTTTACAGAAGCGATGTTGGCCCCCTTGGATTCACCCTTTTGGATAAAATAAAGTAACATTAAATCACGAATATTATTCATATATTTGTTTTTTATTTATTTTATTTTTTCAGACCACGAATGTTGTTTGCATACTATATTACAGAATTTGTTTTTTGTTTATTTAACAGCACATCAAAAAAGCATGGTGAATTCTAGCTGTCCTTTGCATTATTTTTATTTTCTCATATTTCTGTTTAAATTACAGAAAATCAATATAAAATGTTTTTAATGTTCCTGACGAGTTCATTCATTTCATTGAATATATTTAAAAAATAATTTAAAATAAGAGCATTATCAAATCATACTTATCTCCACCTAGATTATTATAATTTATGACACTCGAGACGTTACTTAACATTACCTATGTACAATGTATAAAAAGGAGAGTGTATATTTAAAAAAAAAATGTTTTTCATAGTTCTTAACACTGCAAATATCGGCACAGAAGAGATTTTTAATTTTTCTCACGTCCATTGCACTCGTTTCCTTTTTCAGTTTGACTAACTTCTGTGTAAGAAGTAGCATTCTTAGCATCCTGTCGTCTGTGCTCGTCTTTAGTTAATACTGTCATTATAAAACCAACGAGTAGTACCACGCACAGTCCAATATGTACCGGAATATCTCCGTACACTTCCAATACTCGACCCATTATCAAAACGAGGACAACCCCATAAACGTTATTAGCCACGTTTAAGATTCCTGCTGTTATGCCCTCAGACTCTGGATACGTGTATTCTGCACTCATTTCGTACCCTATGGTCACGTATCCAACCATGAAGAACCTACAGAAAATAATCCCGTTAGAATGGAAGAATGAATTTAGAAGAAACTAATTTTTATTCTAATAAAATTGAAACTAAATTGATGAAAATGAATCTATTAAATAAAAGGATTCGAGTGTACAATACCCTAAGAAAATTGCTGACAGATACACCATCCATTTCATTTCGAGACAAGTGAACGTAGAGAAGAGTATTTGGCCGCATACCGAGAAAAAATACGCGATCATTGTTGTTTCCCTGAAAGTACATAGATCTAGTATCAATATAAAATATTAAAAAAAAAGAAAAAATCATACGAGGATAGAGCATTGATAGAAACATATTGGAAGTAATATCATTGATCTGGTTTGCAAAACTATAAATTGAAATTAATAGTAATTCACAATATGATGTTAATCATTATCTTACTTGAATCTATGTGTTTTATCAAGGATGATTCCAACACAAATGGAACCTATCATTCCAGTTACGGTCATAACCAAACCGATTCTACCCGCGTCTTCCTCTCCGTTCTGTAATATACATTATTATATCAGTTATAAATATTTGTAGGTATTTCTTTTTTTATAATTTCATTGATTATTGTAAATCGATTTCTTACCACAAAATGTGCGAGATACATCTGATTCAATAACGTTCCTATAACGTTCAATACACCGATATTCAAGCCGTACGAGTTGCAAAGTAACAAATATGATTTGTTCTTAAATAATCTTTTAATAGGTTCTATGAAACCTTCATCGTTTTCCTTTTGATTCAATTTTTGTAGAGCTCGTGCTTTGCTCGGTGGCAGTTTTGGATCGTCTTCGAACACTGCATAATTAATATTTCTGATATAAAATAACGATTTTCATAATAATGTATGATAAAAGTAAATGATAATAATATTAAAAGTAAAATATATTTAATTAAAGAGACATAAATAATTGAACGCACCAACGAATTAATTAATTATTAATAGAGAACACACCAAGTTATTGTCGTCGATAAGATGACAAAAAGTCAGCTCGAACCCTCGTGATAACTGAATTTTATTACTACTTTTATAGGTATCATTACTTTTATTCGAGATAACAATTCTTTGTAGGTATCGTGTTTTGTTACGATTTAACTTCATCAACATTTATTTTGCATAATAAGAATGACGTATTTTCCAAAATAATAATAAAAATTTAATTACTCTTCTTTAGTAGACTTACGTATTATAAGTAGCAAAAATAAAACTGTGACGATGATAGCTACACCCCAGAACATGTATGACAAATCGTTGCCAATGTCGTGGAGATTCTCGTGATTTTTCACAATTATCGGTGTCAACAGGAAACCTAAAGCTATTCCCATTTGATTACCAAAAATGCTTAAGGATGTTGCGGTGGATATTTCAGTGGTATCAAACCATTGCGCTGCTAATCGACCCGGTAGAATTAAAACTATAGTCTGATAAAAAAAAAAAATAGAAAATTAAATAATTAAAATTACTATATACAATTCAGATTTAATTAATTCGATTTGATTAAATTCGAGATGCAGTCAGTGAACGCGTATATAAATCTCTTGACGAGATACTGCTGCGACTTTAAGCCCTGGATACACAAAGTTTGAGCAGACTTGTAATTCCTTGTATTAGTAATAATTTACAGCAACTTTCCATGAATTCGTTCCTGTATTTGTGACTCGCACGATTAAGCACTGCTTTAAGAATATAAGAGAGGAAACTTAGATGTTTACACAGAAAGTCGCAAATACTGTTTAATTCGAACACTCGATATTAAACGTTCTTGTCGAATAACATTCATAGAAAGATGTTTATCGTGAGTGTAATTAATCATTTTCAATATGGCATGTTACGTCAGATGTTTACTGGATAGGATTAATGTATTGTTTCATTTATTTTGGTTCGTACTACTTAAAACTGGAACGGTCTGACACAAATACGATCGTACTACTGAAACATTCATATTTTATATATGAATAATATTTTATAAATTTATTTTTATCTATTCTTCAACAAAGTTACTTGAAAAAAAAAATATATATATATGTATATACTAATCAAATTGAGTAAACTTCTCCTTTTTCGAAGTCGGTTAAAAAATAACAAATAATTTCTTGTTCGAATATTCTAAATAATTAATTTGATATAAAATGTAATAATGTCTGACCTGAGTGACAGCGACCAAAGACTGTCCAATGAAGGTAACATAGAACCTGTCTGGATGGGCGGAGAAAACTTTGATCCATGAACCAACGCAACCAAGACCACATCCTAGAATATTCCCCCATCTAACTCCCCATCGGTCCAAAATATATGTTGCAGGAATGATGAAAATCATGTAATAAGCCATGAACGACATTGCTGTCCAGTCGACAGCTAACGAAGAGACACCATAGTACCTGAACAATTTTTTTTTTCAAAATTACCAAATCTATATAATTGCATAATTACATATCACGCATTCAAATCTTTTACTGAAACATTCTACTAATAAAAGACTTTGATAAATTGGAGAAATGCAATAATTGAAAGCTTAGGAAATGGAAATTAACAAAGTCTAAAATTAAGTTCAAATTTTTCCCAAAATTGTATAATTAAAAATGTAACTTGTACGAAAATGTGTTACTTTTCCTCAAAATGTGAATTTTGTTAATTATATTGGAACTCACAAAATTCACATGACTAAAGATAATGATCTGACACCGGAATTTCAACAGCTATCGTGTTATCATTATTTTTCTTTATTTGCCAAACTAAAACACGTTCTATTTTGTTCACTTTTTGTTTACATTTCAGGTGGTCAAGATTTATGTAATCCATAAGAACTCAAAACATTGAATTGATAATATCACTGGCGCTATGCGTGATACGATATCTTTGGGATTTATTTAAAAGATTGATAATAATTAATTTTAGAATGTTACAATTGTTCATCAAATCAGATATGAAATAAAAATAGGCTGTAGCTTTTACATGAAATCGAGAAATTATTATTATGTTATTATTATAACAATTACAACCATAAATCATTTTAATTTGTGATTTATTTAAACTGCATCATTTTTTTTGTTACGACTTTTCAGTTTTTATTTTGTTTATTGATTATTATATTAACAATTATTCTTCCAACATATGAAACTCTTTCGTTTAGAAATTACACATTTAATTTTAAGCTTAGTATTCTCCTATATAATTTATAATACTCCTCTGTTTAATTATAAAAATTCATAATTTTCCAGAATAGCAATGCAAATACCTGCTGACTATGTTGGCAATTATAGAATATTGCACCCATTGCAAAGTGAACATGGACGAGTACGTACTAAACAAAGCCAGCATCAGCCATCTCCTCTTGTACACTTTTGTTTGTAACAAATCACCATTGTCCTTCTCGCTGTTACTTATTATCCTCACAGAATTGTTCACGCACAATACCTCGCTCAAATCCTTTTCATTTGTCATCCTAAAACTTGTAATAAGCGAACTCTAATGAAAAATATCTTTCACAATCCCTGAGTATATAAATTTCTGTTCAAGGGCTGTTTCCCCATTCACGCGTCTTCATCAGCTGCGAAATTAATTGAATTTCGTATAGGCGCCTCCTTGGTCGCAGAAGAAGAGACACTCGTGGCTCGTCGTTGATCTTCATTCGACGAGTTTGCTGGTTAACGATCCAACTAGAATGCCTGAAAATGATCGTGTAATCATTTTCCATCGGGATCGCAGTCGAATCGCGTCTGTCACGGTGCCATTGCTTTTTGTCTTATCTTGATTCACGATTAAACAATTATTTGCTTGATTAAGCGTTATTTGCGATCGGCTACCTTTTCTATTACACGCTCAATTCTTATCCAGGTCTTTATCAAGTTTTCGAATTCACTTCAAGCACCATCGAAATTTAATTCGTGTTTTTCCATGCCGATCGATCATCGATTATTTAATAGACAATTGAATTCGAGTTGCCAAACTCGAGGTTCACGAGCAGCATAGATAAAGAATTACCTAAAGAATTACGACTATCAGTCGTACAATCTCCCTGGTAAACAGTTGGACTAAGAGTGCATATTAATAATCTTTCGTCTGGAATTATTGTACGAGAAACATTTCTGGCGCCATTCTATAAACTCTGAGGATTAGTCGATGTTGGAATTTACTAGCATCGGTGACTTCCTCCTTCTTACGAGGATGAAGAAGTTATCTCTGAGAGGGATGAAATATAAAGTGTACTTTAGAAGGGCTGACGTTTCATTTATTTTAAATTATTTCCTTGCAAAAGATTTGAAAAATGTTATTTTCAAAAGTTCCCTCTATTTCCCTGTAAGTAGTATAATGCATTGTGATCAGACAGTCTCTCGCGCCAAGTAGAAGATATCAATCATTAAGGCAACTCATGGATACAATTTTTAATTCTAATATAATAAAATGAATTCAATTATTTATTAAAGAGGTTTATCTTTCTGTTATTGTTAAACCGTAAACAATAATGAAATATCGTACAATGAATATAACAGAAGTTTATTAAACATTACATTTTAACAATAAAAACAATGCAAATCTGAGGCTCTTTGGAGTTACATAAGTTTATAATTTATTATAAAATTAAACATTTCCGACACAATTACTTTTCATAAACTTTGCGACACCTTTAAATGCATTAACATCGATGATAACATTAAAGAACATCGAAGAAACTATGACAGACTGAATGCTGTTTCCATTGTAAAAATATGTGACGTTCCCATTGTATGAGCGCTCGTGCCCGGTTTACTCATTTTTTAAGCGCTCCTGTATTAACGCAATTAATAAACAATAACTGGTAGAAATTTCAATTATTTCTTTTTATAACAAATCAGACAATTATTTTGATTGATAGAAACCTCGAATTGACTACAGAATATACACCTCTAAATGTAACTTTTAAAATATCTTTCTCATTTGTTTAAGCTTTACGTTTCCTCAACTTGGTGTTTATTTTCAATTTTGCAAAGCTTTCGTTTTATTATAATATTACATATCATATCACATACTATGCATTCGATTAATTACTTCAATTTACATTTCTCGTTATTAATACAATCTTCCTTTTCTGATTAAGACTTGTTAAGTGGTCGAATTAAAATTTTACTGAAATTCCTGTTGAACGTTTATACTTTACAAAAGAAAAATATATTGTTTATTCTAAATGTAACAAATACGACATGACGGTACTTTACCACACTGCGATATACGGATACGTTTTATTTTCCACGCAAACGTTACCTTTTATTTCTTTATTGTTTCGCAACAATTATTTATTTATACACACATATCGTGTCTTAAACTCTCAAATCAGTTTTGTGTCCTCGAAACGAGCCATTGAAAATATATTACAAACGACGGATCGCTATCGTTACGGAGTGAAAGAACAATTTTTTTTTTCATCGTACGGATTAATATTAAAGTGTCTCGTTTATAATATATATATAATATATCTATACACATAGTCTAATGATTATTCGTATTGTATACAATTTATTGTTTAATAGTACTATGCAACGCATCGATATTTAACGTATTAACGTATTATGTATGTATTACAAACTATTCAATTCACCGAGCAACAGTTCACAGGGCGATGCTCTGAATGTAAAAACACGTGGAAAAGTTCATTTTTATTTTTCTTTCTTTTTTTTTCTTTCAAAATTCTTATATCTTATGTTGTATCCAAGAGAATACGTACGGTGTTCACGATTAATTATTTCTGACTAGCACTTTTTCTGTTAATTATCAATAATTTAATTTTTGGTTGAAATTAGCACAGAGGATTTTCAATGATTGCAAAATGGTGTTCGAATGTAAAACAGTAGATGCAAGAATAGCGATTGATGTATTTTTATATTAATTTAATTGTTGTTAATGTAAATAATTCGAATCCTGAATTTTTTGAAATTAATAAAAATTTTGTGATATAAAAATGATTATTACTCTTTTATACACATAATATTCATGGTGTTCATCGTGCTAATGAGGCACTTCTGAAAGGAGTACGTACCTTTGAGAGGTTCAAAATATTAGATTTCTGTTTATTTGCTTATTTACGATGAATATTCTGTAAAAGTTTTTGGAGAGTGTTAAGTAATTAGCGATTAATACTCGAAATTTAATATCGTAGACACCGCTAATTAAAAGGAAAATAAATTAAATGAAACTCTAAATGATATTAATTCGAAGGTACCTAGTGAAGAGCTTAAATTGAAAAATAAAAGTATCCAGTGCTAACTAATTATAATTACATCATATTTCGCTATATCCGTGTTACATATATCCCTGTTAACAACTGAAATCATTGTAACAATTGCATTTTAACGTGGCGAAAAGCGTCGTCGTGGAAAGTCAAAGAAACATCGAGTTTTCTTCGATTCAGCGGCAATCGAGCATCCAGTTCAGACATCGGAACACCGCGTACGTGATCGTTTTGTTTGCCGCCTGGCTTTGCGAAAGATTTTCGAAGATTTCGAGGAACAACGGTGGGGCCGAGAGACCGGAGGAGGAAGAGCATAGAACGAAATACGGTAACGCGTGTCACCGCGGAAATCGAGTTCCGTTTTCCGGAACGAAAGCGTCGAGGTCGCGCTTCCGTAGCCAACATTTTCTCGGCACGCTTAACTGGCTAGGGTCAAATTTATCGAAAACGCTTCGTTCGTTTCAATAATATCATTTGGCACGGTTCGACACTTACACGTGTCTGTACATGGGTACACACGTACACTCTTGACTAAAAGTTCTAAGACACTTATAGAAATTTTATTTAAAAAATGATTAAAATTTTTTCAATATTTAACCCTTAGAATAGGGACGGGTTGATGGTAATTTTTATTTTTGTATCACACAAAAGGAACTAATATAAAATTTTAAAATCACTTATTGTTTATCTAGATTATTGATTATTATTAGATAATCAAGATTAAGATAGATTATTATTTAAATTATTATCTGAAGGTATGTATTCATCATTAAATCATAGTATAAAATTTGTATAACATTTTGCAATTCATTAATAATTAATCATTTTCATTCAAAATGTAAAGTAAATGTCTTATAACTTTTGAGTACGGGTGTATCTGTGCGCGTTATATGTATATCTGTCGGTCGATAGAACATTTGTATGTACAAAAGCTTCCGCAATAATTTCTGTCTCGCTGAATTTTAACAACGCTGACAATATATTTCACCGTTACCGACACGATATCTAAACGATTACAGAGGACTTTCTCGTTTCCAGACAGCCAGCTCGAACCGAAGGAATGGAAAGTCGCGTTGACTCGAGACGTCTTGAAAATTGGAATTTCACACGATTTTCCATTGAAATTGAAACATTTCCTTCAGATAACTTCACTTCCTTTCTCATCTTTAATTGGATTTGTAATTCCGACAAGATCGGCGAGCGATTTTCCAATTAATTTAAGAAATTCTCTAAGATAATGATTTGTTCTTTTATTTTTTTTAAAGACACTGGGGCTATTGTACAATGGTGTAAATTTTAAAAGACAATTTTAAATTGAACCGATATTTCTAATATCTATCCTTTGAAACAGAACTGTATATTTTTTAAAAAGCATCTAGCCACTTGGTTTGAAAATTGATTAGTTCAACGAATATTTGAACAAATGCAAGTATTAATTACTGCAATTCTGAATGGTTTTCGTTCGACCATTGTACACCAGCAGCAATCGACAGCATATAATAGTAACAGAAGAAAAATTAATAACTGTACCACATGGAGGGTGCTACTTTCATCAGGAAGAGTCAGCATTTCCTTGGGATTCAATTTTTCTTTGAAATCTGCCCGAGTACTCCGTGGTTATCGCGGTTTCCTCGTAAAAATACGATATCAACATGGTTTGCCATCTTTCTGACGATAAACCATTATCCTCTGGCTGTCTGGTTGTTTCCGCCTTGGTGTCACATGTTACCATACGCGATTCTACGTGTCAGCTGGAGAAAACATTATTACAAGAATACCACCAGTGATTTGTTAACCCTTTCGTTATCATAAATAATAATGGAAATTTTCAAATGATAATTAGTGATAAACACTGCATATATTATTGAAAATATTAATTTCAAATATTAAAATATATTATTGAAAATATAATTGAAAATATAATAAAATATTTTGATTAGCATTACCACAGCAAGGTGACAAATTGAACGAGTTGAAATTTGAAATAAAAAAAATGAATTATCAATTAATTTCTGCAAATTAACTATTGCAATTAGGCCATCAATTTAGGACAGAGATTCCCATAACGAAAGGGTTAGCCATAAAAATCTCACAAACGTGTAATTATCTATCCCTTCGATCAACACGACGTGGTTCTCATGTATTTATCTTTTTATTCTCATCGTTTCATATTTTCATGGAAAAATCTTCGTATAATGTACAAACTTACAAACGGGGCAAGGGAGAGGCTTTATTTTACAAAAAGGTAAGTAGAAGCAAGGAGAATTACGCTAATTAGTCGGCAATCACAATGGCAATCGCGTGAGCACGACGAATGGCTGCGATATGTGTCATCTTTTAACATTTAACAAGATACTATAATAACGTTTATCGATCATTCACCCCTTTAGCCGCGTTAATTAGACAATTTGATCCCAGAACACATGGTAATAGTTTATAAACGTACCATTTATTTATTTATATAATTTCATACGCATTTATATGTATATATGTATAAATTTACAGGTATCCTTTAATTCGCGTTTCTTTATTTTTCATCGTGGATCCCACCGCCTATCAGCTCCGCGTCTCCTTTTTCAACAAGACTATCAACGTACGGCTGTGTAAACGTTATCGAAAGGCTTGCAAAAAGGAGATTTCGAATTGGAAGAGAAACGTACAAGTATCGTGGGGGGGGATTATGATTAGTAATCTTTGCAAAGTGTGGAAAGGAAGACGAGTGGAAGAAGATCGAAGCTTTCAAGGGAAGATGATAAATTAGACTGTTCCTTGGTGCAAGTCTCACGAGATACAACTGAAATGACTGTTTCTTTGGTATCAAATAAAATATAAATCAACGAACTCGCTGCAGACGTCTAAGGATAAATTATACCTTTTGCTTTCGAGAAATATTTATCATTATGTATAAATGAAATGTCCAAAGAGTATTCAGCAGAAGCAATATACAGCGATGAATTTTTTTTTATCCAATCCGAGTGATGATGAATGGTTGAAAATGCATTTAAATGATATCATCGGCAGTTTATAATATAAATAAAAAGTCGTTTACTATATATTTAACCGCAGCGAGTTCGTCGGAGCGAACTAAAAACGAGGTATAATTAACAGTAATAGTATTATAACTTACAAGGGAAGTTCCTGAAAAATAGCATTGCCAACGATAGTTATTCTTCACTTGGTTGGACTTTATGTTCACAGGGTAAGTTAGATAAATTCACGTGAAATCAGGTCTGCTCAGTAAGTAGCGCTGCGGGCAAGGGCACCTATGAAAGGTAGAAGCTGTAGAACAGTAACAGACATTAGGGCAGTGACATGTTACATATTATTAAAATTAAAATAATTTGTCTTTTCAGATCCTACCCGAGCTCGTAATCTCGGTTACCCGGGCATCTGTAACACTACCCCAAGAAATTGTCCTGTTGCCTGTATTTGTTCAATTCAACCCACCTTTCACTGTTTCTTAATCTTTCGGCATTAAAATAAAATTCTCATTGTTTAACCACAATTTTGTAGTAGATTAGGCAATACCCGATGGGTTTGAGCATGAAAACAGATTCCCGCTGAAACAGCTTGTTGAACAGACCTGGATCAAATAAAAGAAAAGAAAGTGATAAGAAGCACATGCAGTAAGGTTAAAGAAGCTCTTCGTTCTCGTCCGTGACACCGTACATCTGCGGTCGTCGTTCTTGATGCTGTTGTTGCTGTTGTTTCAGAGCTTGTTGCTTCTGGAAGAGCGCGATGCTAGCAGCTTTGTAGTTGATCGGCCCGTAGGAACGGTAATCCACGTCCGCGTAGTCGAGATCCGAAAATTCCGGCTTGAAGGGCTGTTTAAACAAAACATTACAACGGAAACCTTAGTCTACGTTCAGGTACACGCGCACGGGGTATGCACTCAGAAGCGTGTCAAGCATATTGGCAATTCGATGCTAAATTCTTCTTTGATCGAGATTCAATTGGGTATTGATTTGTGGATATTAACATCTGACGGGAATATAATTTTTAAAAATTGTTATCGGGTCAATTATTGTTATTATGCTTGGAGAATTATACTATGGAGTTATTAACCCTTTCGCTACAATAGTCATTCAATGCAAACAATGGTAAACCTGTAATCCTGAAAAGAACGCTAAACAATTTTTTTATTACAAATTTAAAATAAAATTCTACTGAAAAACTGAAAGGCGACCATAGCGAAAGAGTTAAGTGGCTAATGCTACTGTAGCGAAATGATTAAGGTAATGAAAATAGTGAATTTTATTTAAGTTAATTAAATTATAATTAAAATCTGGAGGAAACATATTATTTTGGACAAAAAATCAGTACAGATTTAAATTTGACGATGAGAACCATGGGCTTTGTATTTAAATTCTCTGATTATTATTTTGCTAAGAGCATAGTTAACCCTATAAAGGCTTATCAAACCTACTAATTAGAAAATATTTATAAAATTATTTATCTTCTCTAATTCCATTCCCTAATAGGCTAGGACCAAAATATAGTAAAAATGGAATTTTTCACTTTTATTCTTGCAAACCTTTATGATGTTCAGTGTCTGATAAATATTCATTTGTTTTCCAAGAAGTAATATAATAAGCGTGTTTTAATATAATTGAATATGTAGATGCTATTCTTGGTATTTTAATGGCAACACAGTGGTATTGTGTTTGCATAGAGTGTACTACAAATGGAATGTTTCAGGACAACGAAAACAGGGTTGAAATTAATATTCCGCTCGGAATTATTATAGGATCAGCTACATGAATAATTTAAGATACTACACTCGACGAGTGGAATCCTTCGTATAGCTTTGTCTCTGATTGTTGATAATTAGAAACAAGAACGCTTGTGAAACTGCATTTGCTCGAACTACACGTTTCTCGTATAATATTCTTTTTATAAGTACCCTTGTATTACAGTAAATTTTCAATTATGTATTTTCCATAATTATTAAAAAAGAATAATATTAAATAATATTAATGTTAAAAAGGAGCAATCGTATACAGAGTGTTTGACTATGGACGACTACTTTTGAAAGGGTGGTGGCTGAAGTTATTCTAAACAACTTTTCTCTTTACCAAAATGCTCGTTAAGGCTTAATATATAAATTATTAATGAAAAACACTTACCAATTAGAGGAACAACAGTGCGCAAGGTCAGCCTCGGGAGTGTTGGCTACAACAACCGCGCTCGACCGTAGCCGCGAACAAACTACTCGACAGCGCAGCGGAGCGCGACTTCGGCGATGCTCGGTTCGTAGCCGAACGCTCCCGAAGTTGCGCGCCTGCGCGTTGCGCGCGCTCTGATTAGCCAATGTTTTTCATTAATAATTCAAAATCTAAGCCTTTACGAGCATTTTGGTAAAGGAAAAAATTGTTTAGAATTAGCTCAGCTACCACCCCTGCAAGGAAAATCCACCCCTAGCCAAAGATACTGTATATTTCACTTCTAATTAGCTAATCTTAATTTGTTCAATTTTTGAAAATTATTGAAAATTTTTGAAATGCTAAAAATTTATAACAAGTATTCTCACATGAAAAGGATTAAGGGTCTTCGATATCGAATGCTTCATAGTAGAATTTTTATTCGAACAATGCCCATCTTTGTTTTATCAACTAAAGAAGCTTCTATATATTGGTACACGTATTGGCATCGATCACTGATACTGACGATAAATTTAAGCAATACGATGTAATTCATAGAATACAATGTACCTACAAGGCATGACGGACGCCAAAATTGTCCTAGAAAATGTACGTATCGCTCTTTGTCTGCTGACCCTCCTATGAACAAACATTTAGATACAATTGGTATGTATGCCAGCACGAATACAAATATTATCATTCAATTACCACTTGTGTTTTTTCTTTCATTATTTTCATTTTGTACAATTGTTAATTTCCTTCGCTTTTTCGAGAAAATAATTAACAAACGATTACTCGAAGATAACAAGATCCTAAGGCTGTTTCAATTGTTTCACAACCGATGAAATTTAAACAAATTAAAGTTTCAATTTTTTACTCTTATTTTGCTTTCCGAATTTGTTAATACTTATTTCGGGGAATATATGATATTTGAAATTCTTGCAAAATGAATCATAAGGTTAACGAAGTATTTATGATATGTTATTGTTTTAGAGTTATTAGTAGTAATATTAAAGGAAACTCTTTTCTGCATTTTATACCAATTGATTTCAACTGAAATACTTACCAATAGTGTGGACGTAGGTAAGAGAAATAAAACATAAAGAATTATAGAAATGATAAAAATGGTAAGCTTGAAAGCAACGAAGAAGAAAGCAAACGAGAAACAAACACAAATGCAAATACAATAAATGAAAAACACGATATTTGCAAACAAAATGAAATTCAAAAGAAAGCAATGAAATAATATTAAGAAATAAAACATACAACTTTTCCTACCTTCAATCCAATGACACTTGTGCAAAGTACCAATTGCTAACGAATTTTGTTTAAAAATTATTTCATTTAACTTTTTCAATTTTATCAAAGTGATAACGATGCTGAATTTTCCTTTTTCAAAATTAAACAACTATTCTGTTAAGCTAAATATTTACGTAAACTATCATTTTTGCTTAAAAACGTTTACGCTGCAATATATCCTAAATTCACGTAGGGCAGGGTAAACCAGCTGTTTTACCCGACGAGCCACTAACCTTTTAGACATCGATCTCCTGACCGACGTCCCGGAAGTGTAGCTCCGCGTACTGCATTATCGTCGGCGCGGACGGCGATCGTCCGTCGCCAAGATTCGAGGACATCCTCTTCGACTTGTTCCGGTTCTTCGCGTCCCCGGTTTCCGCGTAGTGCGTGCTCTCTGGCGGACAACGATTCGCCGGCTGTCGTTCCCAGATCTGCTGACGCGAACTCGGATTCGATCTGTGATAGTCGGTAGGACACTCAGCGATGTCGTCCTCGTAATAATGCGGATACGATATCTTGTAAGTCTCAGGTATACCGAGTTCCTGAACTTGATGGAAGCTGGTTTCGCACGATGGCGAGGTGAACGTATCCGTTCTTCTCGGCTCGGCCCGCCTCGCCTTTTGTTTCCGTTCGCCACGCTTGTGCTTCCGGTATTTCTGACCACGCTCGTTCGCGCGATTCCCGTGTCGACGCGATTGCCTTGCGTCGTGATTCGCGTAGTTTTGCTGATGTTGCTCCTCTTCGGGATGCTCCGCGGTTGACAGATGATTCACCGACGTCTCGTGATGGGTCAACGTCGGTGGACGACTGTTAGTATGAACGAAGGATGTCTGCAAAGGGCTAACTATCGAGGAATGGTAGAGGCTGCGCGTTAGTGGCAGTGTTAGTTGGCTTGAACTGTTGCTCGGTAACGGGTAGCTGTACTGCTGCATTTCCTGTCGGTGCTGTTGCTGATAGTGTTCTTTGTAGTTGTATAGGCTATCGGTCTGCAACAGGCACGGTTAGTCGCTGGGGATACAGCTTCCGGTTGGAGGAGTTACTGTTACTGCCAAGACGAATCGTAATCGTGCAGCAAGTAAAATACTATTTCGAATTGCACTTCGCGACATTGGGCAAAATTTCAGATTTCAAATTTTAATTTTCATCGTTTTAATTAAGTTTCAAGAATTTCACAGGGAAACACCCCAAAATATAATTCTGTTGTATTTAAAATTATTTTTATTTATGTTATTTTATAAAAATATGAAGTGATCTGTGATGAGTGAATTGCCAGTGATATGAATAACGAGTATGTTTGAATAATACTTTATTGGATATTGATACGAATATTGGTGGAAGACGCCAATATTCGATTAATATCCGAATCGAAGATCGTCTAGTCTCGTATTAATTTAGTGAAGGTGTGAAATATTTAGAGATAATGCTATTTACAAATATACAGAGTACCTGAAAGATAAAATTATCTTATCAAAATAACAAGATAAAGACAGACTATAGTCTGAAAGGGGAAATCAACGGAAGATAAGATAATAATCAACAGTTAAATGTAAACTTTGATTTCTGTTAACAAATTTTAAATAATAAAAAAATGAAACCAGCTAATTAACCATCGGATGGCGAACCACGAAGAGGGCCACAATTTTAATTTAATTTTTGTATTCCATATTATTTTTATTTTCTAAGTTTAATTGCTACTGACTTATATCCTGAACTTACTGTACCCTCTTTAATGTAGTCAGGTTCAAGTCATTGATCAAAGGGAGTGATCCTGTGATAGAATGGAGAAGTATTATAGAAAGTCAATCAGTGTAATGAAGTTGATTACGGTGCTTAAGCTTGTGATTTGATTTCGCTTGATTTTTTCGCTTCTTAAAGCGAAGAGATTTGAATAGAGGACCAATTGATCAAAAAGGAATCTATACGAATGCTGAGTTAATTACACTGTACTTCACCCGAACATTGACTTACAAAATTTATAATAATTATTTTGATATTAATTGAGAAAATCACAACCCAATATCGTAAATTTATATTTATATAGACATATGAAATATAAAAAAGAAATGATTTATTGCTATTAAAAGATAAAGGCTTAATTAAAAAATTCTATAAATTAAATTTAAGGAAATTTCTTGCCATTCCAACAAGAAAGAATAAACTATAATCTTAAACTGACGTCTTCCCAGCAAATCCAGCAATAAGAAAACAAAGTTACCAGGTTATTCTGCAAAGACCTGCTCATTATAGAAAATGATTGTAGCTTGCGTTTGCAGAGCTAAAGAAAAATTCTCTTTTTTCCGGGAAAGAGGATACGCGGCAAACCGTAGCATCGATATCTTCGCTTTAAGAAACAAACCAAGCGGGTATCTTCGTAAAAACAAAGC